GGAATTATGCAGCTCTCAGAAACCACTCATGATATAAACATCAAGTCAAGATTGTTTTAAAATGTTGTTTGTTTTGGTTGCTTTTGGATCAATTTGTGTTTTCTTTAATTAAACAGGAACGAGATGATTTTGATGTAAGGAAACAGAAATAAACATCTTCTATTCTACGTGTCAAAGCAATGATGCCACCAAGTGGACACATGAGGAATGACACAACGCTTTGCCGCACCCGTCCGTCCGTGAGCATCTCATCTCCAAACCAGGACTGAAGCATCAAACATACCTCAGTCTTTTCTGATGTGTTTATGTTTTTGTTTTAGCACCAGGATGATGATGAACCCGCTGCCCCCTCCAGCTGCTGCCATTCATGCGCCGCCACAGCTGTGAATGAGGACGGCATCACTCCCACCATCCCTCATCATGACTGCCACCACCACCGTCGTCAGTGCGGGTCACGTGATGCGTGAGGACCGGGCGGTGGGTGTGTCTAATCGCGTGTGGTTTCATTCATAACTACAGTCTTTATTAAAGCCCAAATTAAAGTATGCAGACGGGACAGGCTGCCTGTGGACCGCTTCGGACGGAGACTACATCGGGGTGAGTCCCATTTTTGAGTTCCCCTCTCAGATGATCTCATACAGGCGCGCCTAGAGTGTTTTATTATGTAAGATGTGGAGACAGGAGACAGATAATATGCTGATTTATGGAGAGGGTCCGTGATGCTCCGGAGCTTCCCCAACTCGCGGACACGTGATTTACTGCCCGGCAGGCTGAGAGCGGCCGATGCGGTGACGCGAAACAGCTCCGATCGGCGGGTTTTCAGTGGAGAAGGGAAGATGCTCCTGCTGTTGGTGCTGATGCTGAGGATGCTGAGCGCCGCCGGCTGCAGCACATCGCTGTAATCCCCCTCCCCCTCCACCCCCTTGCATAGAGAGGAGGGAAGCTCCCTCAACACCACCCATAGTCTGTAAGATACAGCACATCTGTAGCATTTCCCCCCCCCCCCCCCCCCCACACACACACACCACCCACCGCATAGTGGTATTTATAAACACATAAACGCCATCAGTGTTATTGCAGCAGCACAAACTAAAGTGCATCTGATTGAGCCTCTTCCTTCTGTCGGGATGAAACGGCAGACATGATGATAAAGATGAAATCCTGGGGGAGAAAAATAATAACACGTGCACTTTGGGTTTTATTTACCCACCAGTGTGTTGTATTTTGGTCTGAGCATGACTTCATCATTCACCTCTTCATCCCAGAAAATGTAAACCACCAGGGTTGGAAAATGCATTATGGATGCTGCGAGGGAATTAGTTTAATTGTAATAATGTGGTTTATCGAAGAGGATATTTAGCATCTGACCTGATTTAAAAAATCGATGGAAAACATTTCAGTGTAATTAATAATCAGTTATGAGGAAATGAGCTATAACATGCAGTGATCAGTGAATTAGTTAAAATCACATCTGCTTATTTGATTTATTCTTGAAGTTGACTTTAGATTTTTCCACTCCTACTTTATCTTTTAGCATTATTCCTTTGTCTGCTTTGCTCTTGTTGCGTCACGAGGTGATTCGATAGAGGTTGGACAGAACTGAGTTTATGGTGCAGGATTTGAAGAATTAAACAACTTAAAGCTAAACTGATTAACATTACTTTGGCTCTGAGCTCTTTGCAGTGTGCAAGGTTGGCGATAAATCATCAAATCTGGGGGAAAAAAGGCAGAAATTAGAATAAAATTCTGAATCACGACTTGGTATTTCAAGGTTTCACTTGCAGCCCTGAGCGCAGCGTTTGACTCTTCCTCAACACAAATCAGAATTTCTTAGCTTCCAGAGTTACAAACGCTGTAGCACATTCTTTTTATTTATTTATTAGGCCTTTTCTAATTGCAATTCTGGAACACAAACTGCTCCTCAAGGTTGATAAAAATCAGAAATGGAGAAGATTTCAGATGCAGCACCATGCACTGGTCCACAGTACCTCAGCACAAAGATGTCAGATGCATTTTTAATGGTTTGTGCTGCAGAGCTGTGATATAATCACATTTAAATACCTGTTTACATTTTTTATCTGGTAAATGCTGTAAACACACCTGCAGTGAGGTCACACTGAAGTCATCAGCCTTTTTACATTCACCTAGAGAATAAAATGACCTCTAACTAACCAGAAACAATGTTCCTCAGTTTTTTGTCTTACAAATTCTGTCTGCACCAGTAAATGAAACTTTACTAAACTAAACTTAATTTCTGCTTCTTTGAATTGATTAAAACTCATTAAAATGCCTAATAAAAAGCTAATTTGGCATGCTGAAAAAAAAAAACCTTCCCAACAGCTGCTTAATTTGCCACCAAATTTTACTAAATAGAACAGATTGGATATTTTAAGTCTTTAAAATAAAAACTGTTTATTTTTGGCCTGAATCACATCTTGTTTCGTTTATTTCACCATGTTTAATAATAATTTTCTAAGACTGATTTAGTGATCTGAGCTTATTTATCATCTAAGTCGTGATTCTCTTCTGCAGGTCTCTCTCACTGTGACGTGGACCATGAGCAATGATCTGCCTGTTCTGACGAGTCTGACTGAGAACTCCACTGTGAGTGCCTCTCCATCAACACCATCAGCATCCATGTCTTCGCACACCGTGTGCCCCCCGGCGCGTCGTGACTTTAGCTAAACGCAAAAACCAAAAGTGCAGGAAAACATGTTGAGATGAGTGTGTTAGCTTTGAGGTGCAGGTGTGCAAGCGCTGGCAGGTGACCCCATCTGCTGCCAAAAGAGGAGCTTATTTAAAATTGGAACCAAACATGCTGCCAGTTTGGTGCCTCCTCTGGAGGATGAGTTCATCTCTGAAGTGGTAAGAAGAAGCTTTCTGTGCAGATGGAGAACCGAGTCTGTCACAAGTGAGGATTTGCTGTGTCTTTCTCTTTTATCTCAATCTGATAACACTTACACTTAAGATCTATTATGGAAAACCACCGAGATCCATCCGAGGTCGGATAAAGCGTGAGCATCTTTGCTCTCCATGCTACACACAGATCGTCTCAGGGATTAGGGGACCATTTTCACACTCCGTGCTCAATCTGCTGCATCTATAAATACTAAATCTATTCTATTTATTTCTGACGTGTCCAGGCCTGAATCGTCTCTGAGGGTAAAGAGGAGAAAAAGTGTTTTTGTGGTTGTGAACACACTCATTATCAGCCCTGTCTGCTTTCATTAGAAGAAAATAACAGCCTCCTTGTCTTGTGTGTGGAGACTCACTGAAGAATCCTTAAAGGGGACAAGTTGTGCAAAACTTACCTTTTGCATCCTTTTGAAAATAGAAAAGAACCACTTGTCTTGTTCAAAAGAGAGCTGCTGCTGGAGGAGCAGCGGCTCTACGCTGAGCCCCTCCTGTGTTGGAGCTTCTCGGCTTATAGCAGCCAGAGTGAGTGAGGGGTGGGCGTGGCCAGCTTGCTTTCTTAAAGTGAAAGAGCCCTGGAGTGGCTCATTCTGGAAGGTGCTGAAAACATCAAGAGTAAAACTGCTTAAACCACTTCCTATGAGAGGGATTTAGGGCAAAAAACCATAGAACTCCCATATAACCCTTAGAGTGGTGATGGGACAGCATCATTACCTTAAATGAACAACAACTTTCTTACTTCCTCAAGATAAATGTTGCCACTGATAAAGTTCTCATTTGTGCTGGTGCACTTGTTTTGGATGCTGACTTTGGGAAAAGAGCCAGGAAAGTCTTCTGCGGGGATTGCTCATGTGCGTCGGCATCCTCCTCCTCCTCCTCTGTTTCCATTTTTAGCCTGCGGAGGCCTCATTTTCCTCTCATTGAGAAGAGCTGGGAAATTGAATTAAGGGTCTTGCTGACGTTTCGATTAGCATCCTCAGCCTCGCTCAGCCAAGACCGAGTGTATTAATCAGAAGAGAGCGGCAGTGTTGTCTGTGTGGACGTGTAGAAGTGTGTGTCTTGATAAGTATAGAGAGGGACTTAGGAGAGTCTTTCAGCATTAATTCCACTCATTAAATCTCAGCTGACAGCGTAATGCCACAAAGAGATCCTTCACTTCAGCTAGCTTTAGATGGGGCTCTGCAGCCCAAACACGTCAGTACAGGGACAACGCTTTCGGTTACATCTGTTTAACAGTCCAGGAAGGATCTTCTGTGGCTTATTTATCCAGTTATGTGAACATTTCATTTTCACCATCTACTTCAAAGCCGGGATGATTCCCATCCCTACCCACACACAGCCAGGAACAGGATCACTGTGTGTAATCTGGTTTGAATCGCTGCCTTGATGGGAACAACAAACATAATTGAGTGACTCCAGTAATCACTCTGTCCTTAGATCGAGTTTCAAATAAATACAGCACTTGTTTAAACCCTCTTTAGCTGGCTGTGTTTTGTGATAACTGCGCAAAATTTTACCCCTAAACAATGGCAATAAAAATGTCATCTGCAGCATGAAGGTCAGAATGCCAGAAATGCTGTTTGATGCCAAAAAAAAACAAACAAACAAAACAAACAAAAAACACCAAACACCAAAAAATATCTTTGCTTTGACTCAAAAACCTTGATAGGTGACACTGGAGTGCAGAAAGCATTTGAAAGCAGAATGTGCTATAGTCTAATATGATTTTTTTTCCATTGACGCTCTCTTTTTTTCAACAAGTCCATGCAAAATCCAAATTCTACTGCTGTTTATTACATGGTAAATTACAGAAACAACTATGAACCATTTAACGGCTTAAAGCTTCACTCAAAAATAGAAACATAAACATTTTACTGTTAAAATTACAACAACTTCTTCAAAACAAAATACTGTCAAAATGTTAAATAAGGCACCGTTTCACCTTTCTTTTAAATGTAGAGAACAGGCATCCATCCATCCATCCATCCATCCATCCATCCATCGTCTGTACACGCTTGTCCACGCAGGGTCACAAGGGGGTTGGTGCCTATCTCCAGCAAACTCCGGGCAAACAGGCGGGGTACACCCTAGACAGGTTACCCATCCAGGACAAACAACCACACACACTCACACCTGTAGGGTTAATCTACATACTAGAATCTTCACTGTTGCTATTCAGCTGTTAGATTCTGAGAATGGCTGAGCATATTAGCATATGAGCTTATATCATGTGTAAATATCCAAGATACTTACATAATCAATAGAAGCTCATACACCAATTCACTTGGTCTATTTTTAATCCAAAGATTAATGTTTAATTTAAGGTAATTAAATTCAATAGCAAAAGTTTATTTTTGAATCAGAAGCTAGGAATCTTTGCTTTTCAATAACCAGAAATATTTATACCTTTCTGTGTTCCATTTCAAAGAATGAGGCAAGTTTAAAAATGAAGAATTTTATTACTAACAATTTTTAAACTTTAAGATTTGAACGACAATTATAAATGACGATTCATGGATGACAATTTAATGATAATTTTTAACAGTTTTGATATTAAACTTGTTTTAAAAGGCAAACCTGTGGCTGGATGAAAGCTAAATGAAAATATGAGTTTGGATGCGTGAATGGAGTTCTCAGAAGGTTTCTTTCAGAGAGAGGAAAGTGTTCTGGCTGGAAATGATCTTTTGGAGCTACCTGAGTTGTTTACTTAGAGAAAACAGCATCAAACACATTCCTGTGTGCTACCTCACCCAACAGGAGACCCTCTTTGTGGATCCGGAGATCAGGGAGGGTGGTGTCCACCTCGGGGTACTCGGTCCGGTAGAGAAGACGCGAGTGAACCGATCCTCTGGTCCAGAGAAGTCGCCGGGTACACAGTGTCGAGCGTTTGGCTTAACTCTGAAGAAGTTTCTCGTCTTAACTCAGAAATCAATAACTCTGGAAGGAGTTTTTCGTCAGCTGGTTTCAGTTTACGTTTATTCTTAGCTATTCTTATCGGCGTGACAGAACAGCTTGGCAGAGGATCCGGGCGGCTGACCCGTCTCCTCGAAATGGTGTTGGTTCAAGAACTGACGTGAAGCTGGTGGAGGTTAGTTTACAAAGACCTCAGAACACACCCCCTCTCAGCAAGAAAGCTTTGGGCATGCGTCAAAAACATGTGTTGGCAGTTATTGTTTACTCTGGATAAACTCTGTGTTAGATGGATAAGGTGGAAGCTGTTCTTATCGTTTGCTGAACACACATTACTGTCATCAACCATGATCATCTTATACCCAAAGCATAATAATTCATTTCATGTAATTAAAATACATTTATACTGAACCAAGTGATTATTTATGGTGATTATAATAAACAGTAATAAAGTCAAAGGGTCTACTAATATTAGACCAATAGAGATAGAGAGACCAATCAACCTGACAGTCGTATTATTGGACCTGTGGGAGGAAGCCGGAGTGCCCAGAGAGAGAACATGCAGTTTGGGATTTGAACCCTTGCTGCAAGGCAACTGAGCTAACCACCGCACAGCCCTGAGGGCATCTAAATTAAAGTAATTTTATAAACTGAAAAATATTTATAAAAATTTGTGTCAAATTTTAGCTTTTCAGAGGATCTAATTTGTGACGGTAAAGTTCGACAAATTCTCCAAATACTGAAATAAGGGTTCATTTGTTTCTAAAATGTATGAAATGTTTTGTCTTTGATTCATGAAATTCCATATTTACTGATTACAGCTAATCTGTTTCTGATTTAATTATATTATGTTGAAGTGACAGAATCAGATCATCCAGAACGCTTACAAACTGCTAAAATGATTAAAAGCTACAAATAACATTAACCATTAACACAGAAGTTTTTCATTGCCGTATTTGGATGCATTTGAATTAGAGCAAGTGCTGTTGAGGTCCTGACCCAGTTTCATGGCTGTGCAGAACCGGGACGTGTCGGCGGGCCAGGTGGAGAACTATGTGCTGCTGTTGGTGCTGCTGAGTGTCTTTGCTGGTGGGACACTGGTTCTGCTTTCCCTGCTGCTCCTCTTCTGCCACCGCTGCTGCCTGGGTGGACGGCGCTACTCCAGGTGGGTCCAGGTCTGCGTGGAGAGGCCGACAGGTCAACACTGGCCGTATCAAGTGTGACTAAACAAGTTTGGTTCTGTGGGGGGAAAAAAGGCACAAAAAGTAATTTCTTCCTTTCAGAGCGAGCGATGACCTCGAGAAGACAAACACCACGTATGCCGAGGACTCTCAGCCCACACAAGGTCAGCACTTTGATTAGAAACAGAAATTCACACATGCTGTACATTCTGGTCCGGTGTCGTCACACACACATCCTTTTATTGGTGCGTCCTTGTTGCCCTTGATGCTCAGAAATCACGATTCGTCTGGATGAGTCAGATGCTCTCTCAGCATCAAGCTGTCACGATGGAGAGTCGGAGAGATTTGTCTCCACCGGCCGCAGAGTCTCCTTCAATGAATCTGCTCTTTACGAACAGGAAAAAGGCACTCAGGAAAAAGGGCGCAGGTATGGTTCTTTTTGTGGACTCAGACCTTTGATGGGCTGAGACCTGATGATTCATCTGCATCCTCAGGTACACGCTGACCGAAGGAGACTTCCACCACCTGAAAAAGGCCAGACTGACTCACCTCCACCTGTCTCCGGCTCCATGTGACCTGAAGATCCTCACAATCATGGAGTGTGACTCTGCAGAGAGCAGCAGCATCAACATATGCGAGACTGCAGCACCACTCACCATCTATCAGGTAGCTAATAAACATGAGGGGTTTGATTTGTGAGCTTTCAACAACAAAAACAACAAAAAAAAAAACCTTTAAATGTCTCCAGCCTGCTGAGAGACGACTCCCTGACTGGATGGGACAGAGTCTGAGCGGGGGACTGCCAGGAGACCCCCATCACTCCACTGTCCTGGACCAGGAACGCAGACTGTCTTCATCCACTGTAAAAACACAACACACACAGTCCCAGACAGCGAGTCAATAACAATGACAGAAATATCCGTTTTTAAGTTTAATCAGTCCATTTTAGTCCCAAGATAAAAAGCTTTTATTCAGGGTTAGTAGTGGGTCTTAAATGTGATGGAGAGAGAAGCGCGAACCCGATAAATGTCACGTTCAGAAAATCTGTGTGCTCAGCTCCAAACGTCACAGATTCACTTCCTAATGAGGGACAGACACCTGCTACTTTCACAGGTTTTTGTTTTGTTCCTAGTCATCATTTCCATTGAAGTGCTCACCAGAAATCAGTTTAGACTAAATGCGATTAAACACACCCGACTTCCTACTGTGGCTTTACAGAGCGAAACACGGGATATTAAAATGAAGTAAACGTTAGAAAAAAAAAACACTAAAGCAGACACGAGAAAATAAAAACAAGAAACAGAACAAAATATAAATGAACATAAACCCTATATATATATATATATATATATATATATATATATATATATGGTTTTAGAACATTAAAGCATATCTGAGAAAGCACATTCAACAAAGAATGAGCAGAAAACTCGACATAACTAAACAAAGCAACAAAATAGACAAAAGATTTCTCTGTTTTTCGTCTTGTCAGCGCCCTCCCACAAAATGCTACTGACACATTTCTCAGACTGAAGCTTTTAGCATCTACGTTAGCATCCTTTGACCAGAAAAGCATTTGCACAGGTAATTTCTGCAGTGCTAATTCAGCGATGGCCACAGCCTCAAGCTAACCGATGCACAATCACATCCATCATCACAGTGCCTGAGTGACAAAATGACAAAACGTTGTCCCCCGAGAGTTTGACTCCGACTGTCACGATTCATCTCAGCTCGTCTCCCTCTTTAATGTGTCATCACCTCCCTCCAACCTCCTCTCCCTTCATCTCTCCTGTCAGATGGAGGCTTTCAGGGATGAAGGGGAGGCTGAGAGCGACAGGGGGCCGAGGGGAGAGTCCACACAAGCTCTGGGCCAGACTTCGGTTCTGCGCTTCTTCTCCAAACTGCGGCGACACGCCAGCCTGGAGGGAGCTGGGCCTTATTTCAGACGGTGGAAGTTTGACACCAGTCACCGAGCTGCCAGCCTGGATGCTAAAGGTGTGTGTTTGGAAATCAGGCTTCTGACAAAATTCAGAATGTGTGAAATTTGAAGATGTGTTTTAAATTACTGCCAGGATCCCCGAGGAGAAAGCCTTTCCAGAGACAGAGAGCAGCGAGTGAAACCACAGACCACACAGACGAGGACTCTTCCCCTTTCCGAGATGACGCCTTTGAATCATTCCCACATATTCCCATCCAGGCGAGTGGACTCCAGTCCCTCTCTGCAGAGTCTCTGTCTCGTCCTTCCTCCACATCCTCCTCATCAGGTTTTCTCAGAAGGTAAATCTGCTCACGTCACCACGAAATATCTATTACAGTCTTTTCCTAACTGAGAACTCTACTTCTGCACAGGCTGAAACTGGAGGCCATGGTGGAGGCAGGTGGCAGCATCAGCACCAGGAGAGAGGAGTCTGCTGCGAGGCAGGAGGAGGCCACGATCAACGGGATGGGAGCAGAACAGGAGACAACGTTCAGCACAAAGGGGAGTTCAGAGGCAGCAGGAGATGAGCTAGAATCTACAGAAGACGATGACCTATTTGGGTCAGAACAAAATGCCGCCATGCAGGAAAGGTTTGAAGACTTGTTGAGGAAAACTGAAGACACAAAAGCAGATAACAGCAGAGCAGATGTGAGGGAGGAGGTGGATGATGGAGAAGAGGTGGTGCAGGGGGCAGAAGCAAGGCAAAGAACTGACTCAGGCTCGTCTGCGTCGTTTATGATTCGCCAAGAGAGCTCGGAGCCCCCACACTCCCTGTATCGAGATATTTGGAGCCTGCGAGCCTCACTGGAGCAATATGCCGCCTCAGATCAGAGCAGCACGGACCGGGAGTCCATCCGCAGCGATGCAGACAGCGTCTCGTCCTTTGGCGGCGCCGGAGCTCGCTCCGGCCTGGACAGCTGCCTGTCTCAAGACCTGGATGATGAGCCCGAAGGAGATGGTGAAGCGGAAGAGTCAGAGGGGGTGCCCAGAGGGGCATCAGGTGTAGACAGTGAGATGGGAGGTGGTACTGGAGGAGACGGGGAGGGAGGAAACAGGAAGCTGCTTCAAATGGACAGCGGCTATGCCTCAATTGAAGCACCATCCAGGGCGCCAGAGGAGGTGCGGCTGTTCGGAGCTCCTGGAGCTCCACGGGGGAAGTCGGCATCTGAGAGGAGACTGTTTTTCACCAGCTCTGGAAGAAAAGGGACAGTTTGCGAGAGCATCGAAGCCAGGCTGTTTCAGGAGGAGCTGGAGGACCAGATGATGGACAGCAATGGTGTAGAGGACAAGCAGCAGCAGAAACCACTGAGTCAAATCCTCCAAGAGCCATGTCACCTCCTGAAATCCCTCCAACCCCAGAAAGCTCCAGAATCACAGCCTCAAATGGGTTCTCCACTGATGAAACCAGTCCAGCCCACCAGTCCCCACCGATCTTGTCTTAGACGCCGTGACTACAGCATCGACGAGAAGACAGATGCTCTTTTCAACGAGTTCCTTCGTCACGACCCACGCTTCGATCAGCAGGATTCTCCATTACGCTCCAGGCACAGATCCAGAGTTCACCTCCGGAAGCAATGGCAGAGACATAAGCAATACAGTGACCCGGGGTCAGCCTCGGGGGGCAGGTACTCTCCATCTTTGGAGAGACAGAGGTTCAGCCCGCTGAGGAGGGGGGATAGCGCCGGGTACCCCCTGGACACCAGATACCACAGCACCCTCTCACGCATAGCGAGCGCTGCAGACGAAGAAGCCAGTGAGGTTGCAGCTTGTGAGGAAGCAGCCAAAGAGAGAGCAGAGGTCAAAGATCAGTCAGGTGAAGGAGCTGCAGGGAATTCTGGAGGAACACGAGGTGAAGACACAGAAAGCACAAGCAACCAGTCTGTGAGAGAGGGGACAGCACATAATAGCCACATGGACCCAAGAGTGGACAACAGGAACAACAACAGCAGTCAAGCTATCTTGTCAGAGATTTCCCTGCAGGAAGAGAGTAGTCTAACAAACAAGCTGGTGGCGTCAGTGGAGGAGAGGCTCTACGGCAGCCTGAGGAGGTCAGAGAAACCTGACCAAGCAGAACCAGAGCATGTCCTCACCGTGTCTCGCACAGCCTCTCCTGGATTCAGTCCCACATAATCCCCACCAGCTTCATCTGCACACCTCTGGACTAAAACAACCCAAACACCGTTCCTCTCACACATCAGCTGCTACTGTGACACCATGTGACATGTGATGTCCTCTTCCCTCAACAATCACAAGAAGAAACTGAACTAATCCCATAGCACTGAAGACGTAGAAACTATTTTCTGACATATCTGAGTTTTTAGCATGCTACTGTAGACCCAAACGGTGTGTCTGTGAATACTCTACAGCCTGACATTTAAACAGAGCACGTTGATGGTGAAAAAAGATAAGATGTTTGTCACCCATTGCTTTTTATTTTATTTTAAAACCATCTCCTCAAGTGTCCTTGTTGTCTCAGCCATCGTGGGGTAAATGTTTGAGTGACAGCCACTCTGTATGCATGTAGTGAGAGGAAGACCATGTTTACATCACAACACATCCAGTATGGAGATCGGTTCAAATAAAACCAGAGAAGAAAGCAGAAAATATCAGACGGCTGGAGAAGTGTTGATTTTTATACTTGTGTTTGTTTCTGTTTGTTGCGTTGACCACCTGTCCACGTTACACATTATAGAAGGTATCCAGGAGCTTCTGGAGAAAGATGGAATGATGATGCTTAAAGTGACTGACACAGGAGCCTCTGAGGCTTCTAGGCGGATGACTTACCGATGAGCTGATGCCGACATGTAGATGTTGAAGCTGATAAACGGTGGCACCATCTGCTCCCTGCAGGAACACATAAACTCACTCCAACACCAAATAAATCTGTTGAGATTCTGTTTTTGTTTGTGACAACCCCAGATTTAAAGAATATATATATTTTATTCATCCTGATGTATTTGAACAGTTTCATTGTGTAAACTAAATGCTCATAATGCAATGGCTGATTGGCAAGAGACGGACTACGAAAAATGTTTGTTCAATTATATCAAGCACTTCATGACAACCATGTTAAATGGGGATTAATATGTTAACTTGAGAAAAGTCAGATTAAAGGTGGAGTGTAGAACATGAACACAACAGCGACATCTAGTGTGTGGAGGTTGTAGTCGCAACAATAGAACAAGGATTCAGCCGTGGAGATTCGGTTTGTTGCTGATACGCAACTTTTTTTTTTTTGGGTCCATTTGTTATAGGCTTGACCTAAATTCACTCTGGTTTTAGATCTTTGATGGTAGCTCCTCTTCTGAGGATAACATCTGAGCTCAGAAGCAGCTGCTTGACTTGCCAAGTCCGCCTTCTTCCACAGCGACAGCCTCGCTGTGTTGAGCGGAGTGCGGCCCGATCCCAACACTCGCACTTCCACACTTGTGCGCTTCAGTTGAGCGATCCCAGTCAGGGATGGGAGTAGGGTGTCCCAATCCTCAAGTGGGGAAGTTGACCACACCCCATTTGCACAATTGATCTGCACTTTGCCCAAGTTTGCGTCGATGCAGACTTGGGAGAAGGGTATTACCCACAATCCATTTCTGGGGATAAAAGGTTCAAGTGCCTTTTATTAAAATATTCATTTTCAAATTAAAGTATTTCATTTTGGGACATTTAATTGATGCTCTGAATGTTTTAGAGAAATCAGCAATGAATGAACATTTATTTCAAATAATAGGTTGTTCGTTTGAAAGTTGTTAAAGGTTTGTAAAAAGTAGCACAGCGACCAGCATCCTGGCATGCACTGTGGTCTTCGGTTGTGGTCGATGACGCAAATTATTTGCAACTTGTGTACAAGCCGTAATGTGCACTTCCTCCAAGAGCACTTCACAGAAGACCACATGGTGCAGTGAGAGTACTGGGATTGGGCCTGTTTGGCAACCCGCAATGGTGCCCTCTACTTGCTGGTAGATGTAAACATAAACCCAGTGTTGTACCGTCAAAATAAATATTTGATTATTTTAAATTAAAATTTAGCTTTTAAAGGAAATACTGTGCCTTCATTTTGCAAATCTATTAACACCCCATGGAATTTTTATTTTTTTAAAAACATATTAAATTGACCCATACTCAACTTTTAATGTAATTATTTTAAACAGTTTTTTTTTACTTTAAAGACACTTTAAATTTTGGAAGAATGTCAGAAACAGTGTTAGGAACGTTACTCTAAAAAAGTAATTAGTTATAGTTACTGATTACTTTGTCAAAAAAGTAACTCAGTTACTGAGTTACAAGATTATAAAAGTAACCAATTACAAAGAAAAATAACTACTTAGTTACTTTTTTCATTAAAGCATGCAAGAATTACAATAGTGAAATATAAATGACCAATGACTGGAACATAATAAAATGTATGTCCAAATGTTTTTTATAAACCTGAATAATTTAAATAAATAAGCACTTAACAGGAGGAACTACTAACAGGAGCATTACACTTATCTAGACTATTAAAAGGTTACTGTGTGATATTTAACAAGACCCCAATCAGCTAAAATTTAAAATTGCAAATAGAAACACCTGTAAAGGTTCCCGAGCCTTTAAATGGTCTCTCAGTCTAGTTAAATTACAGAAATGAATGTAATTTTGCACAGCATTTTAATGTTTCCAGCTTCACATAATTGTGTGTTTAGCAGCATTTCTGTTGCTGGTAATCTAGTAACGGTTAAATAAATAAATAAAATCCTTTAAAATGACACTAGAAGAGGCACAAGCCTAAAGGAGGACTTACATTTACTAATTTGGGTCAGACCCAACCACAGAAGAGCTGAAGCTGGGTGGTAAACACACACAGGTAGTTCTGATAACACCTGAGCTCCATGACGTCTGAGACAGATGCATCAGTGTTACAGCGGGACTAAAGACATGATCAGAAACAGGTTACAGCTGGATGATCTAGGAAGGTAGAAGATCAGGACGTCTGAGCGGTGAACAGGTGAGCAGACCTTCAGGACATCCCGCTGTCACGCTAAGGACACGGCTGCAGACCCGCAGATTCGTCTGCAGCCGTAGAAATTCATCACGTCTTCCTCGTTCTTCACGGGCCGTGATACGCTTGGATGAAAACATCTGCCTCTTTAGCTCCTGATCAGCTGATGACAGCTTCAACACACCGCGCTGCTTAACACACTCATTTCCTTATCAGTAACAGAAACGATCGTTTTGTTAAAAGAAGACGGTAATTAATTAGTTTGCTCGTTACAGAAAGAAATGAATATATTTTTTGATTAACGTGGTTATTTTAAACAGCGTTATTCCCATCACTGCTCTGTTGTGTCTACAGTATGCAGCGACTGAGACCGTGAGGGTCTCCGCCCACCCGTCCAGTCGTGTTTGTAAGTGCGTTACCGACACCTCTCTCTCCCTGGCTGCAGCTGAAGTGTGGCGGTCAGAAAGCCTCACACTGTTGCTCTACGTTCGACAAGGACATAGTAACGCACAACCTTCTGTCCCCAGTAACGGTAACGGCGTTGCAACAGTGGGAAAAGTAATTAGATTATTCCGTTACCTAAAAAAGAACGCCGTTATATTTAAACGGCGTTACTCCCAACACCATACACCAGGTTAAAGGGACAACTCCCCAAAGCCTGTGTACTGGCTGAAAAATAAATTAGAAAAGCTTTAAATGTCATCTCACCACATTTAAAAAAAATTTGAATATTAATAAATGCACTATTGGAGAAGAGACAGCCAATGACGATTGAAGATCCGAGTCCTATTAAATTCAGAGTATTTAGTATGTCACATGTGAAACACCTCATTGTTTATAAACATCAAATTTGCAGGTAGACAAAAAAGGCAAGTCTCAAATCCTTGGATTTCAAAAATTCTAATATTTTGTATTTAAAATCTTTCTTTTAGGGAAAGTAACAGCAGCGACTGAGTTTGCAGCACATCAAAGCAACTATTTAAAAATAGCTAGTGTTTAACTGAAAAAGGGTCATTAAAATGAATGCTGTAGTGTCGAGTGCTCTATGGTTTCACCTGGGAAACGAGAAGGTAAACCCAGTGGCTTTTGTGTTGCACCACCCCCTTTATGGTAAAATGAATAAAGACCTGCAGCCTTGACAGATGAACCAACTGCAGCAAGTATTTTATTTTCTAAATAATAAAAAATGCCTCCTCCCCCCTCTGCCTTATTTCTTATCTCCTCCCCCCTCTGCCTTATTTCTCATCTGTTGTGATTCATGGAGTCTGAAACTGTTAACAGCTCAGCCTCGTGTTCTCACTCACTAATCAGTACAGAAACATTTCTCAGCTCGTTACCGCGAGGCGTTTCTCCATCCTCCCGTTTGAGTCTCTGTGCTGACCTTGCTGACGTGGGAAGTGCCGCTCTTTCCCTACCTTGCAGCTGTGACTCACCTGCTCTCTGATCTATTCCCGGTGAGGAGCTCATGATGGGTCTGGCTGCGTAAGAGCGGAGCGGAGTGGGTACGGGTGGCAGCGGATGTGATCGGCACAGCAAAGCATCACTAAAAACAGACCACTAGGCAGTTATCAGGGCCGAAGCACCGACTACAAAGAGACGTGATGACATGACCTTGTGAGGGGTCTGTAAAATAAATGAAAAGGGGTTTAAACTGAATAACAAACAGAAATAAAACAAAAGCAGCCGGTTTGGGACACGTTCTTTATAAATAATAACTTTTTTTTTCTTTTTTAGAAAATTACTCATTGGAAAAAAAGAAACTAAAACCTAAATGGGAGTCAACAATCCTGCTGGTCGCTCCACAAGCCAAACTTCCCTTTTCCCTTCAGCTCTTCAGCATGCAGCTTTTACACTGGTGGTCACAATATCAGAAGCAGTCACACTGAAGATTTAAACAGAATTATTCATAACTGTTGTTGTTTTTCCACTTTAATGTTTTACACATCACAATGTGTATTAAAAACTGCCATTAGGGATCCATAAAAACAAAGGAAGTCAAATAAACAGAAGGAGGTGGTGGAGGGACAGGATGATGTCTAAAACGTCCGGTGCAACACTCGTCCATCTGATGAGGACGACAGAGGAGATGTCTGGGGGACCAGAGGACGGAGGTGGATGACACAAGTTGAGAGGAACCAAAATATTGCAGGAAATGAAAACCATCTTCACAGCAAGTGCCTCAGTCTCAAACAAAAAAAAAAATGTTATGCTGTCTTCCTCTTTCAGGTCACTTGCACCTCATCGTCCAAAGACTCTGTGGTCTGGGGAGGTGTGGGGGACATAAATGTCAGCAGACTCCAAAAACCTGAACAAAGACAAAAGACATAACAGATGTCCATGAGATGGCATTAAACACACGAATTCTAATGCGTGGCGTTAAACCGGAAACAATCAACCCCTAAGGTGAGAAAGAGACAAACATCCCACAACCTACTTTATCTGAGTCAGGATGAGTCATCGCCAGAACAAATGAATTCACAGTGTCTCTTATGCACTGTGCCATGCCAAACTAGCTGAGAGTGCTGTGTGTGTGTGCGCAAGTCACAAAGAGCAGAGGTGGGTGGCAACTAGAACAAAAAAAGGGGGAACAACTGTTTCAAATTTTTTATATGTTTGCAGTAAACATCTGTCCCACTTGATGTGAGCAAGAGCCTCCGACGGCCCACTGAAGAGAGATTCGACAGGCTCGTCTAGAGGTGGATTTGAGACTTTAGATGAAAACGTTCCGGCGTTTGCCTGAGAAGTGGTGCTGGTGAGTCAGAGCACCGCGAGCTGCATATCAACACAGATCCTGTCTCTAACCCAGCTTTGTTCTTCTACTCCTCCTCCTCCTCCTCATTCTACTCCACTTTTCATCCCCCACCCCTTTATTCATAATAGTTTCCTTTTCTATTTGTTTGAAGGCATCCTCTGAAGCACACACACTCACCAGGTGGGTTGTTGTCTTGGGAGGAGACCACGTTGTGGGGCGTCATTGCTGCTTGCAGGTGGAGAGCTTGCGGATTTTGCTGGCTGTGGAGAGTCCTTTACGTGAGGGGTTGGATGAGGACGAGGATCTGCGTTCAGCTTTGGTCTTGCTGTTTAGAGACCCTCCTTCTGTCCCATTCACACAAACTGGCTTGGCTACAGCTAGACTGGGGTCTGTGCTCCCCTGATGCAGCTCTTCTTCTACCACTTGCCCTTAAAAATCAAAGAAAAGTCTATAAATGCATCCGCAACGAAAATGCTGATTGTTTCTGCCAACAATGCAAATTGGAGGGGGGTTGTTCATTCCTCCTGTGAGGAACAATGATCTGCGTGCGTGGGAGTGAACCATTCATAGCCCCCCCCCCCCCCCCCCCCCCAATAACTAATTCCAACTGGACTATTTTTAGTCCTGTCCATTCACATTCTGCAGCTCCGTTTGGGCTTTTTATATGGAGCACTACTTCTAGGTACCCGACACTGACTGCTGCATTTATTACTACAGGCGGTTGCCTAGCAACAGTTAAAGGATTTAAATTCAAGGGGGAGAAATGGATAAAAACAGAGTTGGGGAACAAGTGTAATCAAATATTGAACGATTCTGTTGGAGTCGGTTCATCTCAGCATCTGTCATCGGTGGGTTACAGAGTTTGCACACACGGTTAATTAATAGCATCCTCTCGGCTTACTACCAACTAAACAAACAGAAAGTGACAGACAGCAGCTTGTTCTACATGCCTGAATGAAGCTCAGCCATGAGACTTAGTGACAGAACTCGTTGACTTTGTTGTTTTCATGTTTCCGAATAGATTAGGGGTTAATTGTAAAACAGTCTGAATGTCTAAATGAAGAAATATGCCAGTGCATTATCAGACCTAAAAGTTGCTCACATGACAGCTGAGCTTCAGATGGCAGGATTTGGAGCCTTATTTCCTGATATTTGGACATCTCGCGTCAGATTGGACACAGCAATGCGACTCTACCACTGATTTGCAAAATGGATGTTTTATCTGCACAAATACCACAAGCCTGGAGGAGCTTCTGCTGTGTGGTGAAGCTGCTAATGCTAACCTTAGCTTAAACCAGCTGAGATGCCCTTGCTGATTCCCAGACGTTTAAAGAACAGCCTTCACCATCGTGAGTCAAGATCAGTGAGTTCATGAATGCTAATTTACAGTGTGACGTAGATACGTGAGAATTTTCTAATTCTAGACTTTCACCATCTATTTTCTATCAGAAGCTAATGCGAGAGGTGTAGGAGACTATTTTCATGTTCAGCCTGCATGAAAAACATTTTTAAAATATTTTTTAAACATTTAAAAAATGTTTTTTTTTCTTCAGTCAACCACACCTTAAAGCCATCCCTTACCTGGCACTGTGAAGTCCTGAGTGTAAATGATCTCATCCTCTCCATCGTAAAGCTCATCATCATCATCCTCTGTGTAGCCGTGTAGGTCCTCCAGGTAGGGGACTACCGTCATACTCCGCCACGGGTCCCTGCATTCTGCACTGGCAGGAATGGGTACCGGGGGCTCAGATGGAGGGTGTTTCTTCCTCACCCAGCTAGGTTGAAGAGGCATTAGTAAGTTACAAATAATAAAGCAATGTTTCAGTTTCCTACATTTATAAATCTAATTTGACAAAGGTGCTCCGAATGTTGACTCACTTGTGTTGCCTTATGTTCTGTATGGAAAACCTCTTGGCAGGGTCATACTCAAGCATTCCTGAAAAACACACATTATGAAACAGGATTAGGAATTACTTGGTCTACTCCTAGTTTATTTTTCCACAAAGACAGGGGAGGTCTCGACGATGAGAGGGAGCGCTACCAGCAGAGACTTTAACAGAACGTCCATCAATCTGGGGTGAAGGCCATAAACTACTGTAAATTGACTGGACTCATGCGAACAGCAGCGTGCCAGTATGATAAGGCAGAGCCACGAACCACCAGGCAGAAAAGAGCAGAATTCAAAGAGCTGATAGTAGTGCTGCGCCTGCTGCTGAAGGACACCTTTTGTGGCGCCAGGCTTATTTTAGACCACACAGTTATGGACCGACTGTCTCTCAGGTGCTGCGTCATCAAAGACAGACGTCACGCATTCGCAGAAGTGTGGTTCAAAACAACCTTCTATTTTCTGTTAACCACTTAAGTCATTGGGACAAAGAAACGGTTCAAAAGAGCTGCTGTTGAATAAAAATGGGGCAAAATTTTGGACTTCATCTCAAGAATTCAGCCATCATTGAAGAGTTACTGTTTTTTAAATTATAATAAGAATTATTTCAGAAATCTTGACTTTAAAAAGAGGCTATTTTTATTTTAAAAAGAAATTTGATTGATTCACTATGAGAAAAAGGTGATTATGTTCAGGATGGCTATGTTGCAGCATTCATCTTCGTCAGAAGCTGGGGATGAAGTGCTCAGTATTCTGCTGCTCACTTCAGATCAGTGGAAACCACGTCAGCAGCAAAAGGGATTTCTACAGTTAGGAGGAAGCCACCCATGTTGGGAAGCTACAGTGACTCCTAATGTCAGAGCGCCACCTTCTGGTCACACTAGATCTGAGTCACTCGGGCTGTAGATGTCTGGAAATTCATCCAGTGCCATTTTCAAATAGCAAAATAAGGAAAATACCGGAAGATGGCGAAATCTGCTTAGATTGCTCAGAACACCCACCTCGTAGCAGGTCCGACAGGAGGGGTCCACACTCTTCAGGAATAGTGTAGTCGCCTTTTCCGATGTTCTCAAATAGCTTATAGATATTGTCTCCCTCAAAAGGATAAAGACTTGTTGTAATGTTGTATCTGAATTTGAAGTAGCAGAAGTGGGTTAGACCTCAAAGGTGAACAATAGGGTTAAGGACGTGGTGTGTGTTACTCACAGTGTTACTCCAGCAGACCAGATGTCCACTTTAAACCCTGAAAAGGTGTCCAGGCCATTAGCGATCTCTGGGGGCTGGAAGGCTGGCGAGCCCTGACTAGTGCGACACGTGTCATCCTCAGCAAAAGGATGAAGGGCCTGACATAGTTGGAGGAAAAACAACATTTGATTAGTTACATTTTAGAAACTTTAACAATCTGAGGTCTGTTATTGTAAAAAGAAAAAAACACATTTGGCTAAATAGATTTTACAATGTATAAGAAACATTGAAAGCTACAAATTAAGAGTGAATTTGATCCTATTTTAACAAAAAACAACAAAAAAACATAGAAAAGTAAAAACAGTCTAGTTTATTCGAGCGCCATTAAAATTTAAACAATGGATATCACGAACAAGGTCATTACACTCAAAGCTACAATGGCAAATATGCAAAACAAGCTAGTTTAAAACTTCTTTATCCATGCCTTTTAAAGGCAAACCTGACAGTTTGGCTTGCTTTTAGCGCCCCCTAGTGTCCGTTTAGTAGAACCAAAAGTGAAACTTATCTCCTCATGCGCATTTGTCTTTTTATCACCTTCATTTAACAGCCTAAACGTCTCCCCAGCCTTCATTAGTGTCTACAGGGGCGGTTCATACCTAAATCAAATAAATCAGCTGTGTTCACGATCTAAAGATTGCAGGAAATGTGTTGGAACAGACTGCAGCTTCAGGTATGTCAGCTCCAGTTTTTTTGTAGGTCCAACTGACCAGACCGGCACTCTGAAGTTGCAAATGCGGTATTCTGGCCAGAGTGCGGTGGGGGTCTGAGTGACATTTTATTAATGCTATAAAGGGTAATTTTAGCACATAATGGCTCAAGTAAAGGATTTTAAATTTTGAAAAAGTTGCACAGTATGCCTTAAACAATGTTCTAACATAGTATTGCTATAAATAAAATGTGGAGGAAAATAAACAAAGAAAACCAATAATAAATTGGTTCTTTTGCATTTGTCTAAAAATCTCAGCCAATACCATGGCTCGAACCAAAACCAGCAAACACTGCATTTTCCTGGGTCCTCCACTCATTACAAGCTCACGCACCACCACTGGTGTGAGAGGTTTGCGGCTTAATAATATGAGGAGAAACAGCCAGCTGCTACCACCTTAACTTGGTCTAAAAAGAAAAACATTTGAAGTCAGGGACAACAAAAGATGTTTGGATGTAGAAAACAGCGACTGGTGTTTAGCGCTCTCTCGTTTCTGCTGGCAATGTGGGTTCCAGTATATGCAGATGTGGCCAAGAGACGATGATGACGGTGTTTGGATTTAAAAGCTAGCTTGTTTTGAAGAGTTGCTGTTGCCGCCTATAAAATAATAGTGTTCTGATGTGGTCTTGAGCTTACCTCTGCTACTCCAAGGTCAGAGATTTTAAGGGATCCGTCTGTGGTCAGCAGCAGATTTCCTGGTTTAATATCTTTGTGAACTATTCCCTGGCTGTGCAAATATTCAAGGCCATCTATGAGTTGGCAAAAGTACCTACAAAAAGCAAGAAATGGCAACAATTAAAACAAAACCAGACAAGAAAACATTACACACCAATACAACTGGCTTTAACGCTGCTAGCTTTGAATTTTACATTAAAACATGAAAATGTTTGGTCGCTAATCGAAGTGAATACTCAGAAAATAAACCTTCAACTGTCAGATTGTATACCATTTCATTTCAGATTATGTTCATTGCAACAGGAAGTTAAATAACAGAGATATTGACAGAACATGAAAAAGGTCATTTGATGTGTTTATGTCAACAGCTGATCTCGTTTTTGGAGTCATATGTTGCTGAGCATAAACCCGAACCACCAAAGCGTCCAATAGAACAACATTCACCTTGCACTGAAGGCACAGCCATAATGACGACACATGTTCCAATCCTGGTGGACCCTTCACCCTTTATGGGAGTCCAATCTTCATGCTCCTCCACAAATTTTAACCTATTTTCTATTAGCCTCAGAAATGTGCGGCTTTCTTAAAACTGTTTAGCTGCAGTACGGAGAATTTTCTCCACTGTGCTGAACATTGCTGAAATTTCTATGGTTGAATTACTTGAGTTTGAACAGTTAAGTGATCTTAGTTTACAAGAAGTCAACATTTTTCCATGAGGATCATCAGTAAACATGTCTTTCCAGGGTCTTTCCTGCATGCTTGCTTACTTAATTGCATGGTTCTGCCTCTTTGTTGAAAGACTTGTACGAAGAAGCAATATATTTGGTCACAAGTGTTACCAGTTGTTACTTCAGCAGCTTTCCAGTAAAGAGCAGACATTCACACAATCTCTAGTCAGTGATTTTAACAGTACAGGCCCTGCACACTCTGATCTAAACTTAGGACAGCACAAAGTGTCAGGCTAAATATAGCCGAGGCTCAGAGTACGAGACACTAGAAGGGGGAGAAGGAGCAAAAAAAAAAAAGAAAAGAAGACTTACCCGTGAGCTTGGAATACTGGAAACCTTTTCTCTGAGACACTGTCCAGCATTTCTTGCATCCCACAAACACAATACTCCATTACCATATACGTAGGGAAAGAGTCAAGGAGAATAATGCAGATTCAGAACAGGTCTTTTATAATTATACGCAAAAAAAAAAGTACACAAGCAGTACAGTTAGTTTAATTCATTCATTTAGAGCGGTGAGGATATATTTTTTGCTTCTCTTCGTTATAGAGCACATCAACTAACTGAATCACATTCTTGTGTTGAAGTCTTCTTAGCAGCTGAATCTCCCTGTAAAAGGAGACAAGGAAAGAGATTTAAAAAAATCTGCAGGAGTTGGGCCCTTGATGTTTGATCCTATAATGTTGGCTAAAGCACAGGCACTAAATTTCATAGTTCTTACATGCCATCAAATTCAGATTTTTCTCAAAAAACTAAATATTAGGGATGTGTATTGGTGAAATTCTGGCGATACGATATGTATCATGATACAGGGGAGACGATATATCATGATATATTGCGATACATTCAGCCAGATGATATTAGCAATTTTTTAGACTGAATTTATTGTAGGAAAATTCAATAAACAGTCCAAACTGATACTTAACATGTTTAAATACCATAAGGTATCTGAACATAACAGAGGGATTTACATTTCATTGGTAGAAACAAAACCCATTACACACTGCTGCCAACTAGTGGTCGGCGTTTGAATTGTACGAAAAGAAAATACACAAATGTTTGCATGCAAATTCTTCCCAAAATTAGATACATGGTTTTTCGAATATCGAGATATCGCTAGAAAAAATATCACAATATATTGCTATAACCATATTTTCGATACACGGCTTTTGAAAATAGATATAATATCGCTGGAAAAAGTATCACGATTTATTACCATATCGATATTTTCTCACATCCTTTGTAAATATCACAACTCCCCTTCCAATTTCTGATTAACCTGAAAATTACAAATCTGGAAGGAAAAACTTTCAAATGGAAGATTAGTGTAAAATTTACAGAGCTGAATTTAGAGCTGAAACAACTAATCGATTTAATCGATTATAATCGATTATTAAAATAGTTAACAACTTTTTTAGTCATCGATTAGTTGTTTAATAATCATATTTTACCGCATATAGTCTATTTTTTACCACAATCTGACATCGGTTACAATCTGTTAAATTTGCCGCCAGTGTGTGGCAGTAATGAGCCACTGATCTACCAGTGGAGCCGTAGAAGAAGAAATGAGCCAATAAGTGCCCTCGGTTTTCATGACGTATCACGTTACTGACGCTCATCTTGCTGTGAGAGATGGCGGATCAACAAGAAATACGGAAGAAAAATAGAAGCGACAAAACAAGAGAAACCCCGGACAAAAACCTCACGAGTATGGGAGCACTTCACTACATGCCTTGAAAAGACCGGTGACCTGCAAAATATGCAAAAACCATGGCACGACGGAAGCACGACGTCCCTAAGTGAACATTTGAGACGAAAACGTGGGGGCTGATGCAGCAGAGGAATGTCCGGTAAGTAACAGAAAATAAACAAGCTAACGCAGATCACATTTGGGACTTAGTGTTAGCTGAGTTCGTTATAGTGGATGTTAAACATGTTTTTTTTTCCGCGTCAGTTTACGGTGTTCTACTTCTGATTGACTAGATGCAATCGTGAATCTCCTCCGTGTTGTGAATCATGCGCTTGCCAAATTCAGCACGTCTGTTTATAAGAATGTTCTCGTTAAGAGAAAAACGGCACAAACCCATAACTATGTTCCTCATTCAAAAAAGGACAACTCCGCGGTGAAAAATATACAGACGAGCTGTGTCCAGGTGAATATAACGCGGCATAGTTGTACGCTTTCAATTTTTAAATAAGGAGAAATTCAGAAAGTATTTTTTTTACTATTAAAAGGCTGTTTTACTATCTAACGCCGTAAAACGCCTCACAACACATTTTTGTCAAATTAAATGATCACTGTATATTGTTAATTAATTCAAATAATGTAATATTGATTTAGTGTTGTAGTGTGTGTGCTGCTTTATTTTATATGTGTACTTAATTCAGTTTATTTGTGTTTCTTATGCAGAAAAAAACAAGCAACGATGGACAACTACATGGGGAACAAGACACTCACCCCCAGCAATGCATACCACTTACAAACTCTATTCCAGATTCTACATTATTTTTTTATGGAATTTACCTCTTATATTTTGATGCCAAAAAATTATTCTAGACTGATATTTTGCACTGTTTAGCTCATTTTACACCGCTGACTGTGTTCATGTGCAATAAAATAGATTGCAGTCAACTGCACAATTCTCTTGTTTTTCTTTTTCTTAACTGAAATGTATTCATCACTTGTATAGGTTAAATAGCTAAACAATAACAAACCGATTAATTGATTAATCGAAAAAAATAATCGATTAATCGATTATGAAAATAATCGTTAGTTGCAGCCCTAGTGTAAATGATCATTGAGCGACTGTGAGTTACTGGACAGAGAAAAAAATGTTGAGATTTGTTTTTTGCTACTTGATAACTGTGCATAATATGGTGTTTTTGGTGCATCTCTAATAAAGTCAACAACAAAGACTAATGACACTGGATGGATAAAGATAAATTAACGTCACAACTAAGTTAAGGAACCAATTTTGATTTTATCCCAATTTTTGAGTCTTTTCCAGCTAACCATAGAGCAAAAGACAATTTGAAAATACTCGTGCAGACACACAGGAATGATGCAAACTCCTCAAGTATAACCACATCGATGAAAACCACCACAGCTGGGTCTGACATCAAAGCTGCTTTGAGACACACAGCTTTGTATTAATCTGACAGCAAATTCATTTGATGTGTGTGTTTTCTCCTGGTGATTCTTGGCTACATTTCAAACTTCACTAAGTTCGACCTCATGACAAACAAATTACTTTACCCACAAGAGTGAATCACAACAGTCATTAATGCACAAAGGCACACGGTAATTAACGGTCTAATGTGAAACAAAGATGAGCTGCAGCTTAGGGGCTACTCCCAGTCTGTTTCATATGACGAGAGAACGCTTGGCATGCAGAAACTAACTGGTGTGATGTGACGAGCAGATATGAGAAAACTGAATTGTTGAGTAATTTAATGTTTTAGTCTTCCCGTTATTTTACCGTCTTACCTTGCCATTCACATTCTCCAAGTGTGTACAATGGCGCTCAACATTATCAACACTGTGCCTCACTTAAACTAAAATAATAACTAAAAGTGACTAATGTGAGCCGAAGCCATCAGTTACATATTGGATACATAAGCTCACTGATGAGTGCTGTATTATCGCTGCGTATTTAGCAAAGAAATGGTGAAAAGGACTAATATTTTATTTTTGAAAAATGTAGAAACATCAATTTAAAACTTCCTTATTTGATGTTTCTTTTGCTTCTTTTGCAACAAATAATGTACTGTAAGAAGTAATAACAGGTCAGAGCTCTAAGAGAAGTGTGTGTCAGTGCTTAAAATTAAACTTTAAGGCCCAAGCGTGGCTGAAACATCCGTACACACGCACGCACGGGTGCACGCATGCGAACAAGAACAAACAAACTGGAGTCTTTCTGCATGTAATAGTCACCGTGGAGCTGATGAGCCTTGTCAGCCCCTTTCCGTTAGCACAACCCTGCTACTGACAGATATATTGGGTCTAATGCGCCTCTTGCTTTGATACAAACCCACAAGTTACTGCTGCATCACCGCTCCAGTGTGTCACAGCCTCTTTAGCCACAGAAGATGATAAATATGATCAAAACATTATCAGACGAATAAGTGACTACTTATTCCAAACTGTAAAGTGTATTTTGCCAACTAAACAACGAAAGATGACTCGTCATAGGTGCTGCTAGTGTGTGTGTGTGTGCCACTGCATGCAGACCACAGCTCATCTCCATAACACAAGCTCATAAAATAGAGGCTGTGCTGACACAAAGGCTCAGTGAGTACTGCAGTCCATCTGCAGTCCGAGTTCAAATTTGCACTAAAGGACCTTGTGCACTTACAGCCTGCAGGTTGCAGAGCTGACAGGAGTGCAACAATCAGCGATACTGTCATGCAGCAGCAACACAAAACAACCTAAAACCCTAAATCTAAGCTCCATAGGCCATGTGTCCAAGCACGTTCCCGACATTCCACACAGGCATTCCTGAAAAGTTACCATAGCAACAGAAGTGGCATTGAACAATCAATGTCAGCATGAGCATGCCCATCTCAAAAGCAACACTAAAAGCAAGAAGTTTTTGGGCTGACAGGAATGCTAAACAGCTGTTGAATGGAGATGCAGGGAGCTGCTACACCCGTTCATGGACAGATCTTTATAAGTTCTCTGCAAAACTGCTCAGGTTCTCTGATTACGCAGGAAATTAGTCTAATTGTTTTTAGATTTGGAGGTTGAATATTCATGCAGTCAAATAATCAGCCATAGGTGAGTACTCTGTAAAATGCAACCTTTTATCACAACACTATTCAGAGTTTACTAGGGTTTAAATTGAAAGCAAACAAAAAAAGACATACCACAAAAACAGGGAAACAAGTTATTGTAAATAGAATTTAGTCCATTAGAATCAAATTTATCTGATATACTTAACACTTGATGTGAATCTTTGAACAGTTTATTATGACCTGTGGTATTTTTATGCTAATACTAAAGACCAGCAGAGAGCACAGCTGCTGCCAGCTCATTTTAGCATCCAACTACAAGAGGAAAAAACAGAATAAGCAGCTTTAAAGTTAGTCGGATATTCTTACAAAAAGAAGACACCACAAAACCCCTGAAGACTATTACAGCACACACTGTTCTATTATTCTGCTACAGTTTTGAATTTTGGTCTAAAAACATCTTCTTCCCCTCGGAGTGAACTCATTCTGACAGTTTTCTAAAGCCAACTATAATTAGCACAGGCCCAAAGCGAAAGGCTGGAGTAGTATTTAACAATACTAATGTGATTAAAACTCCTTTCTCTCTTAACAGGAAGCAAGCGACACAGAAATAAATGTTTTTGCGCTGTGGGATTAAAACAACAATTCTAGCAAGCAGGAAAACAGTGATAAAGCTAGTTGTCTGCCAGGCAGCTATTAATAAATTATCATGTTTTCAAGTGATGATTTGAGCATGAAGTGTTGTTTGTATTGTTGTGCTGTTTTAAAAACCAATATGAAGAGAAGTTAGCCTAATTTTTTAACTGTGTTAACTCAAAATAATTAATAACCCAGCTTTGTAGTAGGTCTGATGCTACGGCGCTGCAAGTTTTTTTTTTCCAAGAATGACAATCTATAACAGGCTTACAAAAAAATAAAAACAACTTACTTTTTCACATTGGCTTCTCCGTTGGGAATCCTCCTAAGCTTTTTCTTCTTCAGTATCTTCACAGCCCTGCGACAAAGTGTTTCCGAGTCCAGCATTTCTTTCACTTTGCCATAAGATCCTTCCCCTAGCAGATCTCCCATCAGATACTTTCCAATCAGCTTTGCCCTCTTCCTCCGTGGCTGATAGATCACCTCTGTAGAGTCAATGCGGTGAATGAAAGTGTCCATCTCCATAAGTTCGTTTTCATTTAGATAATCAAGATGCTGCAGCTCCCTGGCACTCATGACTGGTGGTTCTACAACCACAGCCTAAGCCTTACGTGCAAAAAATAAACGTTTGAAAACTGGCTATGATTGCTGCTGGGGTGTAATCTGCTGTTAGCCTTTCAGCACTGAACCGAGGGTTTCCATTAGAGAAGTTTTAAAATGCGGAAAATGCGAAGGAGAGAAATAAAGCCTGAGAACTGACGAAAGGTAAGAGAGAAATCTAAAACCTGTAAAAATTAGGGCTCATTTTAGACAGAAACTAAAAGAGGTGCAGAACCTATTGGCTCAAGTGCTTATTTAGTGCTTTAGACTGTGCATTATGAGCTACGTCTTTGATGAGTGCAGCTAAACAGAACTTCAAATGGAAAAAAAAAAGGATTCTACACTATTATTTTCTTTTCCGACGGTCTAGGCTATTGTTTTATAGTTTAATACCATACAACTTTAGGTAAAGGAAACCAGTCTTGTTTCAAGGCCTTGCAGCACAGCATTTCTGTCAAAGGTCCTTGCTGGATGTCATAGTTTCCACCCGACACATAAGTGTTTATAGTTGGATTGGATCCAGGCATAAATTGACAACCAAAGCATGCAGCAGTATCAATCCAATCCCTGGTGTCAGTCAGGCTCCAGGGGATCGACTGAACTGTCCACCACGCTGAACTGCCCTCAGGTGTCCTCCATGTCACTACAGTTTCTACAGCCTGATGTCTGAGGAAAAAGGGCAAAAAAAAAAATATTTAATTATCAGAACAATCACTGATTGTTTTGCAAAATTACATTTGAGTAAAAATCTATTTACACATATTTAAACACCTGGGTAAACATCTTGTGATCAGACACAGGAACATGATCCTTTTCATTAATACAAAAAAAAAAAAAAACTTTGTCAGAAAGTACTGTGACACAGTTTTGTTAAGTTTTCTACTTAATTGGCTGATCACAACATATTTGAGGGACTTGCTTAAGAGTTTGGGCTTAAAATGCAAAAACTGAGCTTTCAAATAGGTGGTATTCACATCTTGAGAAAGGGTTGAGGAATTACAGCTAGAATCCTCTTGTATAAGGGCTCAAATGTGGACAAAAAACCTCGGGTATTTCTTAATAAGCCGTAGTTTAACAGTAACGTGGGGAAACAACTAAAAACAACAAAAATGTGTGAACACCTTAGAGCTAGCGGTTAGCAGAAAATTTGACTGAATGAATTAGCTTTCCAGTATTAACTTCAACTTATTCGGCGTGCCCCTTTAGAACAATCATGAAAAGTTTAAAACCAAAGTAACTTGTTTGGCCGGTGACCAACTGAGGGGGTGCGGGGAGACTAGCGAAACGTCGTCACACAACTGTAGCTAACGATGAATGATGTGCAGAAGCTTCATCAGACGTTACAATTAACCAACTTCACAAGAAGACGCGCGATATTATCCAACTATATCGCAGTGTGTTTGTCTGATAATAAAACCAAACTCAGTTCTAAAACGTAACGAGCTTTAAATTTCACCAGAAGGATCCAGCTAACACGGGCTAACGGAGACGCTCAGATTCCAATGCAATTTGCTAGCTAGCAAGCTAAGCAGCTACAGTAACCGGCTCTTACCTTAATCTTTATGAAGGTTATTTCTTTGTGAGGCTTAAATACTTTTAACGTGTTCGTCCTCGATTAATCAAACGTTCCGCTTCAGTATTACACAATATCAGTAAAAATTTCCTCACTATTCGTGCTACTCTTGCCTCTCAGGTTGTCGCCATCTTGTTTACCTCCCCCCCTAGCAGCCCCAACACGTTACTGCGTCAAATCAAAGTCCTCCTCCCCACCCCTCCCCTTCTGGAGCAACAACAAAACTGACCTGTCTGCTTTATTTTTACGTAATTAATTCCCTAAAAACGCACAGTAAAGAATACATTATTTTTATTTAAAAAATGAGCGCAATGTAAGTTAGACGAAAATAAAAATAATCAAAAAGAAAATTACAGGAAAATAACATCTTTTGCATATTTTGTTGTTTCCGCAGATTTTTTTTAATTTACATTATTTTCGTATATTGTAAAAAATTACTAAATGATCTAACTTTCATTTTTGTTCCTTTGCAGTTTCAACTATGTGAATTTATGGTATTAATATAAAACGATCAGGGCTTTGTTTTGAAAAATTCATAACATTTTTTCAAATCTGTGACCTTCTTCATAACTCACTAAAGCATAAGTGAAAAATGATAGTTAAAAACTAATAGGACAGTCTTAGTATAATATGGCGCAGCTTTATATTTTATTTTTTATAAATTCTGCAAAACTCCCCCACAATTCATTCATTTCACCTTTAAAATTAAAGCACCTTTTGTTAATCGTTGTTTTATTTGCAAAAGTAAATGTTATTGTGCTAAAACTAGAGTCAAATAGAAATGCACCGATTCGTGTTTCGAGGGCTGATGCTGATTTCTGCACAGGTCTGACCTGCTAATATCAATTTTGGCATAATCTGCATTATCTTAAAGAACTATAATTACCAGAATTTATTTTATTTCAAGACCAGAAGTAAAAAATTTGGCATGGAAAATCTGTTTGCACTTTATTGCTGTTTAAAAGGGGGGGGGGGATCTACTCTTTGGGACTCAAATCAGCTGAATGTTGGGCGATTGGCATCACCAGTCATTTATTGAGTGCACTCCTACTTGAAAGCACTTATTAAAAACTCAAGCACGTTCAAAACCTATAAAATGGTAAAATTAAAGTATTTTTAAAGATTTCAAACTCCCAAAAAATCTCACTGACAATTTTTAGGAACTATTTAGGCAAAATAAATGAAACAAAACGTATCTATTGAAACCTGCATTTTGTAACACTTTAAAACCCAGTGAGTTTACGCCACCCCTACAACTGATGTTTTTAACTTTATCAACCTCAGATGTTCCTGGTGTGGCCAAAACGTGTCTCTTGCTTAGCTGGGGTCTCCAGGGTTATATTTATCCCATGTAAACCTCTCTAAGGAATGGCAAACTGAAGGTCTGATTTCACTGGTCTGTTATCCTCCTCACAGGTCGCTCCAGTCCAATCGTCTCTGCTTTACGGCAATGAAGAAATGAAAAAATACCAACGAGAAAAAGACAAAAACAGATTTAGGTTAAATTTTTCTAAAGTCAGCATTTGTTAGGACTTGGGTAACAATTTCAGATTTCAGTAAGAGATCTTTTTTATTGTCATCACTGCAGCACACAATGAGAGGAAGCAATAATTACAGCACAGTGAAAACATCACTAGATGCACAAATTACACAGAAGAGTGTGTTCTTATGCAAAACTGTTATATAGTCAGGAGGGCAAAGATTTCTGAGGATGCAAAATGATGAGAGTAAAATCATCACAGAAACTAAATACAAGTTTTTATAAACTGTAACACGTTACATTATAAAGCTGAAATGCAACAAAAGCGTGAGCTGTGCTATTTTTGTTTTGTGGTAAACATAAAATGTAGCTAATCTGTTGTTAATTTTTGGATTTCAATAACTTCTCTGACACGTAGGACTCAAACATCTCCACAGCTAAAACGTTCAATTAATGCGCGAGCAGACAAGAGGCAGATGCAGAAACGAGCTTTAGAAGTGGTCCTCTGTATCAGTAATACGGCCTCCGGGGATTGTTCTGCAGGAAGATAACACAGCAGATTCAAATACAGTATCAAAGGACACTTAAACTCTGTCCACACACAAAAAATTCCTATAATTAAAAATGTGTGGCTGCATGATAACGAGATCCTATATGAAGTTTCAAATGAGTGCAAATGCAAATTAGAGCAACGTTAAGAAAAAATGTTACCAGCGGGTTGGGCCTGAAGCGGTAAGCAAGCATCATCCTCTTTCTGAAAGCGTCATACTCATCATCGTTTCTTGTGAGCTCAGCTGGGCGGTCGATTCCTAATCCCGCTCCGTTCATGGCTGTGTTTCCCCTGCAGCGCAAAGGAGACAGAAACACGAAATGAGCTTCTCGCACGACTGAAACCCACAAAAATAGATGTTAGTCTGAAAAAGTGAAATCGATACCAATGTTTACAGAAGACATGTCAAAGAATTAATCATAAATATTAAGATGCTCAAATAAAAACCTCATCAGTTTCATGACTCAACCCATTAACCCACTTTTCCCATTAGTAATTTTGTACTTAACACTTGAACATATATTGTTGGTGTAAGCATTTATTTTTACTAGTCTCTAAGTGGTAACTTGAGGTGAAGGGCTCACTTGTTGACTGGATCTTTGATTCCCTGTCCTTCACTGCCGAGACCTTCTCCTTCCTTCCAGCCCATTTTCATGAGCATTTGGAAGCCAAGATTTTCCACGGTCAACTTAAATTCTTTGTACTCCGAGTGGTCAGGGTCCCGACCTTCCTGCAAATCCAGAACACTAAGTTGTGCACTTGTACTCAACATGCTCTACCACATTCGTTTAGACTTTGTCTATTAAAAATTACAAGAAATATGTCACGTAAATGAATTAAAGACAAATTTTAAAGGTGTGGAACACTGAAAAACCATTTTTTTATTATTATTTGTGATTATAATCTGTAACTCGGGAGTTTTTCATGCAGGCTGAACATGAAAATAGTCTCCTACACCAGTCGTTCCCAAACTGGGGTTTGTGACTCCGCCCAAGGAGGTCCCACAAGATGCAGGGGGTCCCCATAATTTTGTTTGTGCTCAGCTTGTGAGGTTACAAAGATTATATTTGTAAAAATTACATTTATAAAATCCCAATAACACACCCATTAGTATAATCAAAGCTCTGTATAAGAGTTACAATTCCATTTTAATGTTTAATCATTTTTAATGTGTGTATGTGGGTAAGAGTTGGGGTTGGACACAAGCAAAGGGGCCTTGGTGGAAAAACCATTGGGAAACACTGTTCTACATTGATCTCCTGCGTTAGCTTGATAGAAAATAGATGGTGAAATGCTAGGATTTTAAAAGCCTGACAGATCTACGTCACACTGTCACTTAGCATTCATGGATTCATCCATTTTGGCTCATGACGGGGAAGGCTGTTTTTTGTTTAGCGTCCAGGAAACAGCAGAGAACGTCTCAGCTAGTAGAGGCTAATAGATGTTGTCGTTCTTTTTTAAAACACAGAAACGGTTTTGTTACCTGTTGACGCTACAGTTTCGCCGACGGCTGCCGGCTTCTTCAGGCTGACGCTGATGGTGGCGCGTCACTTCCTTCTCCGTTTATCTGCAGGCAGCAGAGGACGTTGTCGCCCTCTACTGCCCGCTCCCCCCTCTCCGACGATGCAGTCCCATCCGGGGACAACGTCCTCTGCTGCCCGCAGATAAACGGAGAAGGAAGTGACGCGCCACCATCAGCGTCAGCCTGAAGAAGCTGGCAGCCGTCGGCGAAACTGTAGCGTCAATAACAGGTAACAAAACCGTTTCTGTGTTTTAAAAAAGAACGACAACATGGAATTAGAAATAACGCACAGCAAGAACACACCTAAGATGTTCAAATAAGCTAATAGAGTATTAGCAACTCCACCATGTGGCAGAACTCCTTCAGGTTTGTGTTATTTGTGGAGATAAAACCTCCACGTTGCAAAGCAAACTTGAGTCAGTGGTTGAGTCACGTTGCTGTTATCCAATCAGAAGACAGCTTTCCAAATATAGGGAAATAAGACTCCAAAACCTGCCATCTGAAGCTCCTTTCTCCTCCAGCTGACTCGGACTTCCTGATTATGGTGCATCTGAGATTTTTCTCCCCGAGTACAACTTACAAATACTAGAGACCACTGCAAATGTATTGATTTCAAAAGTTTCCAAAAACTTTAACTTTCTGCTCCTGTGTGACTGCTGACCTTTTGGGTTGAAATCTTATTTATAAACATGTTTTAATAAACAAATCTTTTAAGGGAATATGAATTGTGCTGGCTACAACATCAACAAATAAAACTTTCAGAGAAACCAACGCCCATTATAGCTGCCTTAACTAGCTATAACTAAACTCCCTCAGATCTGGATAAACAGCTTGTGAGTTACTGATTACAATCTGGTTTATTTATCATTTCTAACCAACCTTAGCTCTAATAAACTGTACCTTACCTCTCTCTTTAAAAAATCTACAAATTAAACTTAAACTTCTAAGGAAGTTTGACAGTCAAAGCATGTATAGAAATAATAAATTTCTTCTTCATACATTCTCTTGCAATGCCCTGGTCCTGTAGAATGAGCCCTGGCATTTTTACTGTGATTGATTGTTTTTCTGTAAAATCACAAAAAAAGAGACGTTCGGGTCGAGCAGGCTGCTTCATGCACATTCACGCTCAGGCATAGCCCGTAGCATTTGCTATCCGTAGCTTTAGCGGCAGAGAGAGAGGTAGTGCCAACTCAGCAACTTTGTCGCTGTTCCTAACACCTAGTGACAAACCTAGCTCAGTGTTTCTTTTACATAGGCGTAGCCGTGGCGGCACGCCGTGGCTGAAATCTCAGCGCTACGCCTGACAAAATCCCAAGTTTTATTGATTTTTTTTTTTTGCGCCGTTTCCCGAAGAAGCAGCGGGAAACTACTCTGTTGTTGCTTGTGATCACAGCCGGCAGGCAGCAAGGAGGAGGAGGCAGGGCAGGGTGGTTACAGCTAGGGATGAGCCGGATACTCATTTCAGACGAGTATCCGGTACGGATAAAACATTTTTGACGAATACGAACATGAAACGAGTAAAACTCGTAAATATCTGTAATCGTGCTGAAGGAAAATCCTCATTGGTTAACTGACTGTCTTCACGCTCTGTGTTTGGCCAGTCACATAGAGCGCCCGCCCCTCCCTACACACAAAACTCTGCAGCTGGGAGCTCAGTCCGGCCCATGCATCCACGCACACACGCACGCACGCACACACACACACACACACACACAGTAATGGATCTCTGTGCTTGCTTCACTGTTGCTCACGTTCCTTCAGTGCTCCCTAGGTTTTCTACAGCTTGCCTCTTTTTCGGCTGAATATTTAAAGTTACTTTTTCCGTAACGTACGTGGTGCATTTGACAAGACGGAGCTGAAAACGGGTCGTGCATACGTCGGTCACTGCCTGCGCTCCGGTCGGGTTTGTTAAAATTATTTTAACTCTCTCTCCCTCTCTCTCTCTCACACACACACACACCTCAGTCAACATTGTTTTGTTTAACTGTGTGTGGGAAAAATGCCAACAACGTTAGGAAAAATCAGTTTATTCAAATTAAAATAAAATGGTTCTAGTATTTCATATTTCCTAGTTCCTACTGCATGAGTTCAGATGCATTAATTCATGCACTTAAATATTAATGTTCTGATTTTACTGAAAAACTTGTTCTGTAATATTTCCTTTACTATTGTGATCGAAAATATTTAATCTCAGTTCTGAGGCTGCTCTGTAAATAGTTTTCAAATAAACAATACACACATAGCAACTTCTGATCAATCCATATCATTTTCAGATTTAAAATAATGTATTGATGTAAACCACACCCCCTGATTTCCAAATAATAAGGTGCATTCATCGTGTATCTCCTTTAATCCGCATTAGTGATATTTTCAGCACCAGAACAATGAAGCAAAGAAACAGATTCCTGAGTTTATGTTAGTAATTTTATTTATTTGGTGCATCTGATCTGTTCTATTTTTCTCTGAAATGAGATCAAATCAGTGCTTCTATGGGTCGTCTCCCCTCTGCACTAGAAAAATTTACTTTATTATAATGTTCACTGTAATGCATCTTGATGTTCTTAACAAATAAATTAAATCAAGGATATTGGTCAGTAATGCCAAATATGTAAATTTGTGTTTCAGTCATTTTTATACTGGCTTAAAAACACTTCATTAAGTAGAAGGTGCAGGGGTGTAGAACGCTTTTAATAGGGCCAGCCCAGTAATGAGCTTGGACCAAAATAAAGGGGGCAGAAAGTCAAATAAAGGGGGGCAGAAGGAGATGTTTTTCCAGATGCCAAGAAAAATTGAATGCCAACCCCTCCCCCCCTGCAAAGTGTGTCACTGAGAGTTTAAAACAAAAATTATTCTTGTGCAAATATTGGTGTATTCACCTTTAATACTAGTTATTAAAATGCAGCAGTTGCTGGATTGGTACAGTTCATAGTGGAGTGCATCAAATAAAACAATATTAACATAAAGGTGAGACGTGTCATAGCTGATCTGTCGTGGTGAAGAGGGAGCTGAGCCAGAAAGCTAGGCTCTCGATTTACCAGTTGATCTACGTCCCAATCCTCACCTATGGTCATGAGCTTTGGGTAATGACCGAAAGAACGAGATTGCGTATACAAGCGGCCAAAATGAGTTTCCTCCGTAGGGTGGCCGGGCTCGGCCTTAGAGATAGGGTGAGGAGCTCGGACATTCGGGAGGGACTCGGAGTAGAACCGCTGCTCCTCCGGATCGAAAGGAGTCAGTTGAGGTGGTTTGGGAATCTGGTCAGGATGCCTCCTGGACGCCTCCCTGGGGAGGTGTTTCGGGCATGCCCTGCCAGCAGGAGGCCCCCGGGTCGACCCAGGACACGTTGGAGAGGTTACATCTCCAATCTGGTCCAGGAACGACTTGGGGTCCTGCCGGAGGAGCTGGTGGAGGTGGCCGGGGTGAGAACGGTCTGGAGCTCCCTAGTTGGGATGCTGCCCCCACGGCCCAGACCCAGATAAGCCGAGGAAGTCGACGACGACGTGTCATAACCCCCCCCCCCCCCCCCCCCACCACCACATCTGGAAAAATTCCTAGGGGAAACATTGTAGCTACATTTCTGAGGACCCTCAGCTACTTTCTGTGGAACATTCTTCTAAATATTTCCTGCAAATTAGCAACAAAATAGCGATTTTTGCTCCGAACCATTCTTTGGATTGACGCTGTTTCAGCTGTCATCAAGGATATAAACGTTACAGATAGAATCAATGTCACTTGTGCTTCAGCTCACCTAGTAAGATGTCTGACTTTCATGCAGAAGAACTGGGTTCGATTCCAGGTGTGAACATAATTTGTTTGGAGTTTCTTTTTTACATTAATGATATATTTTTTTACGGTAATAAGACGCCCAAATTATTATTTGAGACCCACCGAAAGGCACTGAATTCAAGGATAAAAAAGATGTGGGTTCAACTTTCATTTTGGAACTATTTTTCAAGCAAGGGAGAGAATGATCTGAGCATGCATAAAACTTTGCCGGCTGTGCTGAAGAGAACCAAATTATTTAATTAATTAGCTGCATGTTCTCCTGTCCTCTGGGCCACCCCCCCCCCCACAACAAACACACACACTGCACATTCGGCAGGCCGACGAGAAAGTGCAGCTGCAGAGAGAGGCACATTATTTTAATTAATTTGCTGTGTTCTTCTGTCCTCCGGGCAACACGCACGCACGCACGCACGCACACACGCACACACACACACACACACACACACACACACACACACACACAGGACTGTTTCAGCTGTTATTTTCGTTAAGGAGTGTGCACGTACAGCATGCGCACCTCATGCACGAGATTACTTTTGAAGCTGCCATTACGCGTTAGGCCTGAGTGGCGATCGCAAGCATAAAAACTTCAAACTTCCTTAGAGTCCCTTTAAACTACAGATGTACGAAAAATGTTTACTGTAGTAAGCTTGCCCATCTTTACCATAACACCCCTAAATTATATATTTAGTTAAATCAGGCTAAACACACAAATTTAGAGAAGTACTAACTTTGAGTGCTTTAAAGGTCTCCATGAACTTGTCCAGTTCTTCAGGTGGAAGGAAGTCACCAATAAAGTGTTTCCCTTTACCCATCTCTGTCAGAGACTCTGCCCACTCTGCAAATGTTGAAAAGAAAAGGTTTTACGGCAGTAACTAACCGTGAAGCACAAAAATGCTATCATCAACAGATGCTTGAATTAAAAATTCTTGTGAATATGTTTTTATCTGTATCATACCACGCGTCTTCTCCATTTCCATCTGTCTCAGCTGATGTTCCCAGGTACCAGCCTTATCATCCACTTCTTCATCGCTGTCATACTCATGCTGATGTTCTCTCATAGCTTTATCCCACAGATTCTGCATCTCTGCCATCGCACGCTTGTGCTTCATGATCATCTCATACATCTCTTGCATCTGTGAGGAGCAACAATATGTAGGATACAGAGATATAAAACCAAAATTGAGTTAGAGTGTGAACAATAATAACAACAACAACAGCTGTCTGTATCTACCTCTTGTTGTTCTTTGATTTGTTTCTTCTGATCCTCAGACAGTTCAGTCACTCCAACCAGACCGAGAGGTTTTCCCTTCTTATAACCAAGACCACTCAGCTCCTGGACTGAAAAAAGAAAAATGCCAGTTTCAAATACCGCAGTTCGCTACTAAAATGTTAGGTTATGTCCCTGACTGTGTGACATTTAAGCAAAAAGGGAAACAAAATCCGTAATGACTTTAAAAACAACAAAAACGCTGCTTAAATTAGCATCAAAAAGTTTGGAAATATTAGCTAATCACACAACGAACAAAAACATTTCAGAGATACTTAAGTTTGCTCACCGGAGAGGGAAGGTGCGTTTGGGTCTGGGATATTAACCTCTGGAGGAATAACAACTGGAGGAATAGGCAGATGAACTTTGTCATCTTCAGAACCCCATCTACTCTTTCTCTTGCGTTTGACAGGCGGTGTTGCTGACTCCTGACTCAGATGCACGGGTGTGCTGTTGAGCAGTGGGGAGATTCCTGGTCGGTGAATGCTTCCCCTAGATTCCTCCACTGCAGGCGAAAAGCTCTGAGAGGTTGTGGCCTGATATTCCCGCAGTTTTTCTCTGTAAAGTTGGTGGGCCAGGCTTTGATGGTTGTACAAAAAGCTAAAAGAAAAGTAGAATGAAGATTATTTTTTGATATTTTTCAGCAAAGGAAGGCTGTGAAAAACCAAAAATGCTTTAGGATAACAGAAGATAGCTTCTGTAAATGACCTGAAGGAGGGGTTGTCCCGATTGCGCTCAACAGCGATGGCTTCCACCTCAGGGCCACCCTCCGCCACAAACCTGGCCAGATTCTCAACCAGTTGCTGGGTTTCCTCGTCCACTGGGGGGGAGACTTTAAGCAGCCTATTAGTACTGGGACTCAATTCACACTCTACTACTGTATCGTACTCAACTGGCCCTCACACACCACCAGTCTAGATCCAATAGGGAATAAGAGGAGGAAAGGGGAAGGAGGGGCAAGGAAGGGACAGGGCTGGTGAATGGGGAACTGTTTGGATGTGAGGCTTTGACTACAACAAATAAAGAACAAATAAAGCAAAGACATTTTCTCCCGTGTACAGACAGATTGTAATGTAAACCCTGCATCTGCATGCATATGCATAAAACTTTACTATGTGTTCAAATGATAAATTTCTATTTGATTTTAAACTTAAAAACAGCAAAAAATGTGTAAGTGAAGATGTAATGTTTCAGCAGTGGTCTGAATTATAAAAATTTAAACGTCGACAGGGTTCTGTATACCAACACATGCCTTTAACTGGACCTGTTTCTGATGAGTTAGTAAGCGGTGGATGTAAACCACGTAATCAGTGTAAAGTCAGTGTTTATAAAAGCTGCTGCAAAATGTTGTTTTAGTCATTTTACTTGTTTCTCTTTTATTTCTTATCTTAGTATTTTTACTTGTTTTATGGTTAGTTAACTTTTAATGTAATTTTATGCCTTGCTTGTATGTGCTGCTGTTATGTGTATTATACGTTTTTAGCTTTATATTTTACTCCTATGCTGTCTTTGTTGTTGTGTGTGAGTCTTTCGCTCTACTGTACAGCACTTGAATTAACTGCCATGCTATTTTTAAATGTGCTGTATAAATAATCTGGTATGGTATGGTATTCAGAAAGTAAATGTGAGAAGATATTTATAATTTTACCATTATCTGCTTTATTCTCGGCTCTCTCCAATTCCCTCTTTAATACTGCGACTTGTTTTTTGTAGTAAAGATACTCCAGGCTGCCCTTATTGTGTAAAAACCTGATTAGCAGAATAGGAGAAAAAAAAATGTGTAAGAAATTATGTGAGTTAAAGAAGGAGATGACTGAGCCTCGATCTGTATCAAACTTACGAAAAAAGTGGATCATCTTTGTAGTCCTCCACAGCCTTCCTCTCCAACTCAGGTCCTCCTTCTGCCACAAATGAGGCCATCTTGTTGATTATAAGTCTGGTGTCTGAATCCTCTGGAGGAGAGACTTTAAGCAGGCTATGAGTACATTTACTCAAATGTCACCAAGGACAAAATGCCAGACACAAGGCGAATGCGCCACAGGAATACGCAGAAGATCCATGTCACGATGTTGTCCTAACAAACACTGGAAAACATGAGCCTTGAATTACCTTTCATCTCTAGGAATTTTGAGTAATCGTTCTCCTCGTCATCGTCTTCATCGTCTGGAGAACAAAAAACGCTCGGCCTCTGGCCGAGAACAGGACTCTTCTTGGGCTGTGAAAAGCTCTTGAACTGACTAAGCATTTTGCTAACTTTAAGGCCGGGCCGCTGGCCAAACACAACACTCTTTCTCTGCATCGAGTTTCCTCCTGGAGATGAAGATGAGGCTGACGGGGTCTTTGTATCACTGGAACAATCTAGACAAAAGAAAAATATTTTTTAAAATAAATGTTTTATTACCCTTACAATGTCCTCCACTTACTGACATTATTGTTGTGGATTGATTTGATTATTTTTCATTAATACTGTGGTGAATGAAAGAATGTGATTTGCAAAACACATATTTTAGCTTAATTCAAACCCTGAGATAGCTATGCATGAAGGTTTCCCAGCCTGCTTCCCTGGTTTCAGTCATACTTCCTTTCCCATCTGATGTACCAAAGACAGATGGAGATATTGGTCCCTTGAGTTTGTGTGAACTTGTTAGAAATCTCTGGATGTGGGTACAAAAAGAGTGTATCAGAGAACGCAGACCCTTTATCTGAAGGACTCACTCTCAGAATGGATGTAATGTTTTATCTAACTGTGTTCTTCATCGAATGGCAATCTTAAACTTGATTGATTTCAGGACAGTTTCCTTGTTGCTTAATACGTTTCTAAATAAAATTCCACATGTGAACACAACTTTTTAAAATCTTAGTAGAATGGCAAGATTGTCTAAACATTTCCTGTCTCTTAACATTAGCCAAAACTACAAATGTGTGCATCTGAACATTTCTCTGTTTAAACAAAATTTAACCATTTAGAAATATTTTTTGCCACTAATCAAGAAAATTACCAGATGATTTCTCCTTCTGCAGCTTCATGAACTGCTGTAGGAAGCTTCCGTCATTTGCAAACTTGTTGGAAGAGGGTCCTTGAAGATTGGGGCAGCTGGTGGGACATTTCCAAATATAAAGCATTATAATACTTCTATTATACTTTTGTATCTGTGTATTGTTAATAATTGTATTACCTTGAAGGTGGAGGCTTGCTGGGGGTTTGTACGTTCAGTTTTGCTTGTTCAGCCATTCTGGCTTCAATCTCCTTCTTTTTTTGAGCAATTAGTTTTTCTTGACGAAGAATGTTCATATTCATCTTGTTCTTCTGTGGCTGGGCTGGTCTGGACATCCATCCTCCTCGCCCTAAAACAAGATTAAGAACGTTGTTAATAGCTACTCACAAGCACAGGTAGTTCTGCACATTAAATTCCCCTAACAGGTGATTTTTAGTTTATCTATGAATATGTAACAACAGATAAATGCGTTAAATCTGTATTTCTAATGAAACTGCACATTTTTACATCACAGATTATGAAAAATTGCTAGCTGCAGCCGAAATTCAGTGATTACCTATTAAAAGCTTTTTCTTAACAGAGGTTGGTGTACAGGTTAACTAACCAGTTAGCTAGTTAATGCCAACACTAGCTGCGACATAAGCTACTGGTAGCAACGCTGACTTGCTGTTACAAAATTAAAACGTATTATGGTCCATGGACACAATAAATGGTTACCTGCACCGCTAGACTCCATGGTCGTAGCAAGAATACAATTATAAGTGGAAAACAAAACTCAAAAAATGAGAAAAAATACCGCTAGCAATACGATAGCAGCTACACATTTAACAAATGCTAGCAAAAATAACATTTTCCTTTCCGGTCCCAGATTTTCATAATAAAAGATTCACTCCATTTTCAACTTGAATGTCAATTTCTGTTCATGTATTTCAAAACAGAAAGTTGTGTCACCTATGATATAATCAACAAGTCGCAATTAATCAACCTTTTTTTCTTACAATACTTATAGTTTTTAATCGCAATCAAATTCACAACTGAATTATCAAGCTGAATTTCTGAAGTTTTCTTCATCTCTATTAATCAGGATTGGCTCACAGGAGCTAAAAGAAAATCACGATAAGGCTCAATGAGGAACTGTTCTTGTAGATGTTACCACACACACACACACACACACACACACACACACACACACACACACACACACACACACACACACACACACACACACACACACACTCACACACTCACACACACACACACACACACACACACACACACACACACACACACACACACACACACATACACACACACACACACACACACACACACACACACACACTTCAGAGTCGAATGAAATTTCTAAACAGGATCATATTAAAAAAAAAGAACATCAGTGTGATGATTTGTGTGTTTGTTTTTATGCTCTACACACAGGTTGTTTTGTAAGTATTATTATTATTGTTGTTGTTATTGTTGTTGTTGTTTTTAAAACAACATTTGCATTTAATTGCAAACTAAACAAGCAGGAAGTCCTTTTTCATGTTAGTGTTTCCGTCTTTCCCATTCATTTTCTTTATCTTTTCTTTCTTCTTCTTTTTGTTTGATAATTTTTTTGGAGTATTTTTTGTATTTTGTTCATGTGAAGCACCTCGTTATTTTTATCTTGAGAGGCGATATATAAAAGATACATTTCTTTCTTTTATTATGTAGGCCAGCAATTCCATTTTCCGTTTTGCGTCACGCCTGTTTCCTGTCTCTGAAGCAAAGCTTGCTGTTTGTCCCTCGTTGCTTTCCGTCTGTACCGACTGTACTTCTTGTGCTAGAAATGGCCGAAGCCCCTCCACGGCCCTGCCGGTATTTTTGTCACCGGTGCTCAACAGAGATTACTCCGCATTTACCTGTAAGAATCATCAATACACCCTTGTCTGAGTAGGAGTGAAAAATTAATTTGCAGCTCGTGAGGTTTATTGAGCTAAGAGAGCCATGTCCTCTCGCTACCGTTTAAGCTAGTTCTATGGTTGAGTGTTAGTGACAAAGTTGTACTGTGTCGACTTAAAATGATGTGCTTTATGTATTTAGTTTTAAAATACTGTAACACGAAGACACGACTACACGGAGACGCCCTTGACAGGTTTAATAGCGGTTTTGTGTAATTGTAACAGACACAATTTGTGTATTTCCAACTGGTCAGAGGTTAATTGTTTTTACCCAGCAAACTACAAACTGCTCGATCGTTTGTTTTCTACAAAACTTGCCATTAGATGATAGTTAGCACACCAGTAAATAATAGCAGGAATGTCACTGGTAAATGTCAGTCGACATCAGTGTCGCCTTCCTGACCCAGGCCTCTGTTGTCAAGCTTTTCACGGGAAGCTTCTTGAATGTTACAGCACCTTTTACTTTAGTCACCTGTTTTACTATGTTAAGTTCTTTTGTCAATGAATAATTAGAGTTTCCAAATTTGTTAAGCTGCTGTATTATTAATATTCATCATATCATAAACTTGAATTACCACACTTTAAAGCCTGTAGGAGGAGGTTTTTTCTTATTATTTGATGTTGTTACGTGTTTAATTTAGACCTTAGCATGTATATTTTACATTGTAGGACTACACATGCCCACGCTGTGAGTCTGGATTTATTGAGGAATTGGCTGATGAAAGAAGGTAAGGTGGATTGTTATTCCTCTCGTGAGTTTGATCTCTTTGTGGATAACTAACTGTTATTTTTAATATTTGTGATGAAGCAGCACTGAAAATGGGTCTGCCTCCACATCTTCTGCCAGTGAGCAAAATCGCTCCACTTTTGAGGTTAGTATAGAAACCTTACATCTGCTATGACAAGACCCTTTTTTCACCTTGCTTCATGATTTGACTTTGTCTTCTTTTCATTCCTAGAACATGGACCACCATCATTTATTCACATTCCCCTCTGGCTATGGTCCGTTTGCTCTTGGGATTTTTGATGAAAACTTTGACCTTCGAACACGGCTAGCCACAGAGGACAACAGAGAGGCTGAAAGCAGGAGAGAAAGGGAAATGGGATCACGGCAGCGGTATAGTGCAAGGCAACCACGGGGTCGACATGTGCCTCGGCGGCAGGGCACACGCCATGAAGGAGTGCCCACATTAGAAGGGTGAGACATTTTCTTAGAGAATCTTACGTTGAAATATTATGCAATTGCTTCTTTCATGGTATGATTTTAAAAAAATATGTTTTATTTTTGTGCTTAGTAATGTGATTTATGGTGTTGATTAGAATATAGAGCTTGGGATTCCTGGGTAGCATAATTTCACAAAACATTATAGCTCCATATCTACACCACATTTCTGTGCTACTACAGTATGAGGAGGCATTATAACAGGAAACGGATAATCCTAACTCTAACCCATTCTGAATGTTTGGATCCTGGACTGGTCAGAATTCCTCCGAAAGTCTCTAAATGTGTTAGTGCTGTGGCAGTTGTCCACTGCAGGTAGGACACAGATAACTCAAAGTTAATAACATATAACCATTCTAAAATTAAAATATTTTATCCAGAATCCCTCAGTTGGGGCCTTCTTTCTCATTGGCCTATTTTATAAACTGAACATCACTTTTTTCTTTTAGTCTGTGGTCAAAACAACACTTGAGTTAGTTGATGATTTGTACTGCCTCATGAATGCAAAACATCAGTCCAGAGGAAACAAAAACTTTAACTAGAAAATTCCTGAAGAAATTTTAAAAAGGGACCTTCCACCTGGCCTGCCATCAAATTAATCAATCCATTTTGTGCATATTTAATGTATAATTATGCAAATTTAGAGTGTCACACACTCCCCCCAAAATTTTTGTTGTTTTTTTGCTAAAAACTTTGTCATCATAAATCAAAACGCTTATAAAAGTAATAGTACACCTCCCACAGCTGAGCTGCTCAGTTTGATGTATAATTTGTGGGGGTGCACTCTGTCGTTCAAGCCGCATTAATGTCCGCAGAAGAAGAATAGTGAAGAGAATCCTGCGGTGAATAACTATAAGGGCCCAGCTTGCAGCAGCAGCAGGTCCCTTAATTATTGAGTTTACCTCAAATGTTTGAGACTCTGTGTGCTCAAGTGCACCTATTGAATATTTTTTTCCTGTATCACGTAGAGTAATTGTTCAAAAAAGAAGTGGTGCTTCCTATTAAGAGAGTAAGAAGTCTTTTTGGAAACACTCAGCCTTACTAAATTTGTCTTGTCCTAATTCAGGATAATCCAGCAGCTAGTCAATGGAATCATTGCACCTACAGCCATGCCCAACATTGGTATGGGATCATGGTAAGTACAAATTTCTGCGATAATGGTTACATGTTGTGAAAATCTGTTGTAATTTGGCTCATTACTGTCATATCTTGCAGGGGTATGCTGCATTCCAATCCAATGGACTATGCTTGGGGTGCTAACGGTCTAGATGCAATCATCACACAGGTAAAAATAATAAATGTTTTTTATAATATTATAGAAATTGGGCTGCTCATTGGTTAGCACTGGTGCCTTGCAGCAAGGAAGTCCTAGGTTCAAATCCTGGCCTGGGGCCTTTCTGCAGGGAGTTTGCATGTTCTCGCTGTGCATACGTGGGTTCTCTCTGGGTACTCCGGCTTCCTCCCACAGTCCAAAAACATGACTGTCCTTAGGTGTGAGTGTGTGCGTGGTTGTTTGTCCTGTGTGTCTATGTGTTGCCTTGCGATGGACTGGCAATCTGTCCAGGGTGTACCCCGCCTGCTTGCCCGAACACTGCTGGAGATGGGCACCAGCCCCCCTCAACCCTGCGTGAATAAGTGGGTATAGAAAATGGATGGATGAATTATAGAAATGACAGATTCCCAGGATTTCCAGTTAACCCTCCCACTGTTCTAATGGGTGTGACCCCGTGAGGAAAGTTGACCATTGAGCAGGGTTGATGGTTTTTCCCTTGGGTCCATGTGGCAGGGGTGAGGAATGAGCACTGCCACGTGGACCTCAAGGGATAAACCATCAGTCATGCTCAGTGGTCAACTTTCCTCGCAGGGTCACCCATAAAGACAGTGGGAAGGTTAAATTATATTCAGGATAATTTTAATACCCCAGGGGGGAAAAATGCTTCCAAAAACATTTGGTGCTGGAAAATCAAGTTTCGGGTAGATTTTTCTATTTAATCTGACTTATGTTATTAAAATTACGTTTGCAATTTAAACATTGCCACTCATTGAAAATATATTTTTCCTAGAAGGGATTTTGTGATCATTATTATGATTATGTAATTTCTCCCTTAGTTATTAAACCAGTTTGAAAACACCGGCCCACCTCCTGCTGACAGAGAAAGAATCAAGAGTTTACCGACTATTTCCATCACACAAGAACACGTCAGTAAGTCTCTCTCAAAGTGATCTCAAAATTTTCTTTTGGCTTTTATTTCTACATGATCATGTTGGTTTTTTTCATCATAAGGTAGGTAATTTAATACATTTACACAACCTAATCTTGCTTTCTCAAAAATAAACCGAACCTGTAGGAGCTGCAGTGCATTTGCCTGACTCTGGATTGGATTGTATACACAGATGGTGTGTCGTTTTATGTTTGTGCAGGTGCTTGTTTAGAGTGTCCTGTGTGCAAAGAAGACTACGGGGTTGAAGAGACTGTTAGGCAGCTACCATGCAATCATTTGTTTCACAATGATTGTATAGTCCCGTGGCTGGAGCAGGTATGTACATCTTTAAGGCTATTTTATTACATTTGTATTGATATCAGTTACATCAGGCGTTACAGCCGTACACATCTGTTTATTTTCACAACCTATTTGTCTACTTAAGGACATCATGTGTTAATTTTGTTGGAAAAGTTGTGATAAAACTCATTAGTGTCTTGTTTCAGTAGGCTGATTCTGTAGCCTGAAACAGTTGAGTAGAGGTTATAGGTCGGATGTGTGTGGGGGCAGTGGGAGGATGAGTAGGGTGTTATGCGTGTTGTAAGTATCATGGCTTGTTAGAAAATGCTATCGCACAGTCTGTGATTGTGTGTAGCGAATGGGAGGGGTGTCAACAGTCCATGTGGGGGTTGTGAAAGGGTCAAGCACGATGCAGGATCTCCTCTTGATGCTGGGCTTGTGGAAGATGACCTGCAGCGAGGGGAGAGATGCTGCAGTGATATTGCCATCTGTCTCACAATCCGTTGAAGGTATTTCTGATTGGCCACGCAGGAGTTACCAAGCTATTCAGAGATGCAGTAGGTCAGGACACTCTCTGGTGTCCCTGTAGAACAGTGAGGAGGAGATGAACCTGGTTCAGACATCTCAGGAAGTGAAAGCACTGCTGGACCTTCTTGTTGGTGTTGGTGGTCCAGGTGAGGCCGTCTGAGATGTCCCAGGAACTTGGTGTTCTGTCCAGCTTCTACCGTTGAGCCTTGGATGCTGAGTGGGGTGTGGTTGGATTTCCTGAAGTTGAGAATCATTCCTTTGCTTGAAGTCTCACCACAGTTGTGCTGTCTGCAAACTTGATGATGTGGTTTGAGCTGGGAATGAATGGTGGTGCAGTCGTGACTCGTGGGTCAGTAGAGTGAACAGCATGGACTGAGAACGCAGCCCTGGGGGGCTGCAGAGCTTAGTCGATTGATGCTGGAGATGTTATCGCGAAGACGGACAATTGCAAAGGAAGGTGCTCTGTATACTGAATTTCCTCAGAGGCCCAAGTCCGCCCTTTAACGCTGATGGCAACAAGGCAGGTTGCAGGTTTAAAGCCAGTCTGGAACCAGATTACGTGTGTGCATAAATTGGCTTTGTACCTATAAACTTCATTTGTATTGACGTTAAATAAATAAAAAGTAACACATTTGATGCTTCAAATCCAGTAATTGAGAGTTTTGTATTTGAACTTCTTTTTATGGGTTGTGGAAAGATTAATCAGTGCAAGTATATTTCTCAGCTGCAGAGGGATAAAACAGCATTTATTTTAATGGAACAACACCTAAATTAAAGTCTTTCTGATGCTTTTCCCCCAACAGCACGACACGTGTCCCGTATGCAGGAAGAGTCTTAGTGGACAGAACACAGCCACAAATCCTCCGGGATTATCAGGAATGAACTTCTCACCAACTTCCTCTTCCTCCTCCTCCTCCTCCCCAAGCTCACCTAGTAACGAAAATGCTGCCAGCAACTCTTAGACACCTCCCAGTCTACCACCACACACACACATCTGCACACTGACACACACCTGAAAGCATGGCACCCCTGCTGTGATCCAGCAGTTTGTCTCCACAGCTGAGACCAGGACAGCTTTATGTCTCAATTTTTGGGGACAAATTTGACATTTAGTCGTCATTCCTCCCCTCTGTGCTGATCTCTTGTAGCTGTTGATCCCGAGTGTGTGAGTGGTTTAGACTTAGTTTAAAGAAAACCCAGAAAGAATGTGAAATAAAAATTGAATTGTGACCAGACCTGAAGTAGAAATTAAACCAGGTTTGCTTTGGGATGAAAACCTACTCTTTCCACAAGGCTGGGACACATTTTATTTTAAAAGAAAAAAAAAACAATGCCTGTGGTGGACTTTTAGATGTTTAGATAGGAAGTTTTCATTTTATCTTTCAACCGCATACATCGAGTGGATCAAACAATCTTCTAAAAACAAAGTTCATGTATCTGATGTTTTTTTAAATTTATTTGCATCTTTACTTTGCACAAAATAGTTTTTGATGTTGAGAGTGTGAATTTTGGTAAACTACTGTACAAAAATGAGCAGGATATTTTTAAAGTAAAACTTTGAGAATGCTTTTTTTCTATAGGTTTTTTCTTTTTCCTTCGAGTGGACTGAATTGTATTTGCTGTATTTTGACAAGTAGAGTTTGTTGCAGTTTAGCAGTGGACACATCTTTTTATTCTTCTAAGGAAATAAAAAAAAATCACAGAAGTGTGTTCACTAAAGCACGTATTGAACAGTGTAAAAGACTAAACAGGACTGATGTATGGGCTCAGTTTACCTCTATGGAACTTGCCAAATGAATTTAACAAATCAAGTGTTATTTTATTAGCTGAATTCCTTTTGTACAGTCACAATAAAGTGCTTAAAACAATGAATTTAAGACTTCCTGTTTATAGTCTATTTTAACACATCATCACTGCATTCCATGGTAATGGAGATGAGGAACCTTGAGCTAACAATGCTAACGGTGAAGCAAATAATCAGGGGCCTCATTTATCAAGCTTGCTTACGCACAAAACAGGGTCTTAAAACTGCGCAAGCAACTTTCCATGTAAACTTTGGGATTTATGAGAGAAAAATTAGCGGAAAAATGTGTGCAACTTTAAGTTGACTAAGGACCTGGCTTACGCACATTTTGGACATGGAGAGCACCTGCAGTGCTGCTGCTGAGAAGGATACAATTATGAAATCCTGCAGCATTATCACTTGTACTGCTTTGTTTTCACACAGAACAAGACCCCCCCCCCCCCCCCCCCCACACACACACACACACACACACGTGCGCACAGCCTGAAGCCAGAATACGGAATGCAGAAATCAGCAGGGGGACAGATTAAGACAGAATATCATGCGTCTGTGACAGAGTGTGTCCTGTCACTGTGACCTGATTGATCATGCACCCTGGTTACTTGAACAAGGAAGATCTCTGTTTAGCTGACTGGTTAGCGTGTGTGATGGTCACCCGGGAGTCTAGGTATCGAATCCTGATCAGATCATTTTTTTATATCCACCACAGATCTCTCTGAAGAACTCCGCATTCACGGCTTCAGCAACGCTGTGCCACTCCAGATTTTCTTTGTATTTGTTTTGCAAAATCACTTCCTTTCATTTCTCCACCCACAAGTACCTGAATTTCTGCTTGTGAAATAGCGCTTCCTTGATCTGCGGTCGTGATCAAAAGGCTGCAGCAAGCCCGCTTACAGTATGTACATGCATGAGATCCACAAGGCACTTTGCATTGACTATTTATGGCAGAAAGTGGGCGTGGTGAGGGCGGGATGTGACTAAAATGCAGCTGAGAAACATTCTCGTTAGTCTCCGATTTATGAATGCTGAGATTGCATGCAGCTGTGCGTACTCCATGTTTGATAGATCACAAACCTGCTTGGCGTAAGTACTTTTTTCTTTTGCTGAGCTTAAGTACGGTTTTAGTAAGGTCTCGTCTCGTCTTCCTCCGCTTATCCGGGTCCGGGTCGCGGGGGCAGCATCCCAACTAGGGAGCTCCAGGCCGTCCTCTCCCCGGCATTGTCCACCAGCTCCTCCGGCAGGACCCCAAGGCGTTCCCGGACCAGATTGGAGATGTAACCTCTCCAACGTGTCCTGGGTCGACCCGGGGGCCTTCTGCCGGCAGGACATGCCCGAAACACCTCCCCGGGGAGGCGTCCAGGAGGCATCCTGACCAGATGCCCAAACCACCTCAACTGGCTCCTTTCGATCCGGAGGAGCAGCGGTTCTACTCCAAGTCCCTCCCGAATGTCCGAGCTCCTCACCCTATCTCTAAGGCTGAGCCCGGCCACCCTACGGAGGAAACTCATTTCAGCCGCTTGTATCCGCGATCTCGTTCTTTCGGTCATTACCCAAAGCTCATGACCATAGGTGAGGATTGGGACGTAGATCGACCGGTAAATCGAGAGCCTGGCTTTCTGGCTCAGCTCCCTCTTCACCACGACAGATCGGCTCAGCGTCCGCATCACTGCAGACGCCGAACCAATCCGCCTGTCGATCTCCCGATCCCTCCTACCCTCACTCGTGAACAAGACCCCGAGATACTTAAACTCCTCCACTTGAGGTAGGACCTCTCCCCCGACCCGGAGGTGGCAAGCCACCCTTTTCCGGTCGAGAACCATGGTCTCAGATTTGGAGGTGCTGATCCTCATCCCAGCCGCTTCACATTCGGCCACGAACCTACCCAGCAAGAGCTGAAGGTCAGAGCTGGATAAAGCTAGGAGGACCACATCATCCGCAAAAAGCAGAGACGAGATTCTCCTGCCACCAAACTCGACACACTCCACACCACGGCTGCGTCTAGAAATTCTGTCCATAAAAGTGATGAACAGAACCGGTGACAAAGGGCAGCCCTGGCGGAGTCCAACCCTCACTGGGAACAGGTCCGACTTACTACCGGCTATGCGGACCAAACTCACGCTCCTCTGGTAAAGGGACTGAATGGCCCTTAACAGAAAGCCACCCACCCCATACTCCTGGAGCGTCCCCCACAGGGTGCCCCTGGGGACACGGTCATAAGCCTTCTCCAAATCCACAAAGCACATGTGGATTGGTTGGGCAAACTCCCATGCCCCCTCCATCACCCTTGCAAGGGTATAGAGCTGGTCCACAGTTCCACGGCCAGGACGAAAACCACATTGCTCCTCCTCTATCTGAGATTCAACTATCGATCGGACCCTCCTCTCCAGTACCTTGGAGTAGACCTTTCCAGGGAGGCTGAGGAGTGTGATCCCCCTATAGTTGGAACACACCCTCAGGTCACCCTTCTTAAAGATGGGGACCACCACCCCGGTCTGCCACTCCCTAGGAACTGCCCCCGATGACCACGCAATGTTGTAGAGACGTGTCAACCATGACAGCCCTACAACATCCATAGCCTTGAGATACCCAGGACGAACCTCATCCGCCCCCGGGGCTCCGCCGCTGTGTAGTTGTTTGACTACCTCAGCAACTTCTGCCCCCGAGATCGGACAGTCCATCCCCAGGCCTCCCAGCTCTGGTTCCTCCTCGGAATGCGCATTGGTGGGATTGAGGAGCTCCTCAAAGTATTCCTTCCACCGTCCGACTATAGCCTCAGTTGACGTCAGCAGCTCCCCATCCCCACTGTAAACAGTGTGAGCGAGTTGCTGCCTTCCTCTCCTGAGGCGCCGGACAGTTTGCCAGAACCTCTTTGGAGCCGATCGATAGTCTTTCTCCATGGCCTCACCAAACTCCTCCCACGCCCGAGATTTTGCCTCGGCAACTGCCACTGCTGCACCCCGCTTGGCTATCCGGTTTTAGTAAGGATTCTACGCAATGTTTGATAAATGAGGTGTTGTATAAAAAATTGTTTTCTTTCTTTCTTTCTTTCTTTCTTTCTTTCTTTCTTTCTTTCTTTCTTTCTTTCTTTCTTTCTTTCTTTCTTTCTTTCTTTCTTTATTTCTGTTCTGGTGTTTTTCTTTATTTCTGTTCTGGTGTTTTTCTTTCTTTCTTTCTTTCTGTTCTGGTGTTTTTCTTTTGTCCTTGGATTTCTTTAGAAGCAGGCCGGATGTGTTGCTTTTTAAAAATCTTTTATCCTTCATTATAATCCAAAAGGGTTCAATTGAAGGCAACTGGACTTCTTTGGTCAGTTGCTTCATTTGAAGCCTTTTGGATTACCATGACCTGGATGACTGAGAACCTTCACCAGCATATCCTTCATTGTGTTGTCGAACAGGTTCTATTGAAGCAATTTCTTTTGCAGGTCTGGTAATAATCAGTTCTGGATGTGATTGTGAAACAGAACTCACCTTTTCAAATAACCTTTTAGTCACAGTCAAGTTCACAAATACACAAGTAGAACAACTGATGTTTCACATAAGATTAAATGTGTCTGTGAAAACCTTTAAAGAATGCATTTTTATTTATTACCATTTATTTCTTTAGTGATTTGAAATTTTAAGTGTGACAAAAATAAAACTGATGAGGGAAATTATCTAAGCATTATAGTGGACCACTTTGTTTATCTTGGTACAAAATGCCACTGTATAAAGTTATAGCTGTGGGTAGAAATAATTACTGGGCTTTTGATGCAGCAGAGATGTAAAGATCTTTAAAGAAATTCTGTAACAGTTTGTTGAAGGTAAAACAGCGATCCCCCCTTATAATTTACTAGTTATGAATTAGAAACTGTTTAATCTTTTCATTTAAACAACTTTCTGTTGTTTTTCATTAGCAGCTCTTTCTGAGTGAGGCTTTTTCATCCCAAAGACCTAAGCTACTCTGAGTCAAAACCCATTTTGTCTCATTCTGTGTGATAACAAAAAATTCAGATTAAGCATGATGGGACTTTAAATTTGAGCTTGAGGGTGAGAAGAAAACTGCAGCGAGTCTTCAAAGGTGCGTACTTGCCCACTTGTGAGTCTGAATAACAGTACTCGTGCTACTCTTAGGTTATTGCTGCTTGTTAGTGGTCATTAAGTGCAGATGGATGAAATTTTTAAGCTGAACCCCCCCCCCAAAAAAAAACAGGTCTTCCAAAGCTCCAGAACCTGTTCCTGACTTGGATTAAAGGGAGGCTGTAGAACCCCTAGAGCTCATCAGCGGGCTTTCATGACCCGATGACTGGTTTCATCTGGACCTGTAGCTTCCAAACAAGTTGGCTCCCCTAGGTCTGGCCTTGAAGGCTGAAAAATTCGAACTCGCTCTAGAGACAGATACAGGTAGTTGCTTTGCCCCTCCCTACCTTACACCTCACATGGGACTGTGAACTCGTAAGATCAGCTTGCGAGTGATCTTGGAGAAAGGTCAGCCCCAGAAGTGAAGGGATGCTGTCATTAAGTTTCAAGTCTATTTTTACTGCTGCGCTTCCGACACACCTCAACCTCTGCAGTTTACATCATGCCAGACAGGAAGTCAAACACAAAAGCAGTGTAAAACATCCAGAAACTTTCTAAATAAAAGTCTCATGCAGGTACATTTATGTAATTTCTTGTAAAAAAGCAAAACAAAACAAAAAAACCCGTAGCCAATGTAAACAGCTATATTTTGATACATCCGGCAACCTTTCTCCTGGCTTATTGTTGTGTGTGGACTTATGAAATCACACGTGGTGTTGCACTTCCCCCATGATGTCATGAAATCACAGGAGAGCAGCTGTGTGGAATGCTTTCACTGCCGTTTTGCGTCAAAATTGCTCCTAGTTGTGAATGAGCTCGCGGGTAAAACGTCGTTATTACGTTACGTGCCGCTTTCACATCCAGTGGAAATAAGGGGGTGAATCACTGATGATCCAGGGCTTGTTATTGGAGAAAGATGTCAGTTTGTTTTATTTTTCATAAAAGTTAATAAATCCAGCAAAGTCTGTGTTTTGAAGCTTAGCAGAAAGACCTTGTTTATCTGTCCAGAGATAGCCATCAATGGATTTGAGTATGATAAATGATAATGATAAACGACCCGCACTTGTTTAGCGTCTCTCAGAGTAAAGACTCCAAAGCGCTTTACAGTACAGTGTATCATTCATCCATTCACACACATTCACACACTGATGGTGATGAGCTACGATCTAGCCACAGCTGTGCTGGGGCGCACTGACAGAGGCGTATGTCAGAATCAGATCACTTGCATTAATGAAGCAAAAGTACTTGGAAGATTTTTCTACATCACAATGTTGGAGCCGTGATGTTTGGCAGAGACAAACCTCTAAACGTCTTCTGAAACCTTTCTAGGAGACATTATGACTCTGTTGCATTTTAGTGTAAGTCAAACAAACAAACTATTAATTATGCGTTCATTAGAGCTCAGAAATATTTAGCTGCGATTAACAAGCAGGTGGTGGATGAGTCACTGTGGAAACCTGCAAGCCTCTCATTTTTAAATCGGCATGAATAACAAATGTTTTATTTGTTATTACTGAAGCTTTCAAAGTTGTTTGTGCGAATAGATGACGTGTTTCCACCCACTGCAGATATAAAAAGCTGCTGGCTTGGCTGCTGTAGTGGTATAATTAGCAGGAAGTTCAATTTGTTTAAAAGACTTCCAGACAGTAGTCGTATTTGTTTCCAGGACATTTGTTTATTTGTTCTTGCCACACTAATGAGGCCATCACTTTATCTTCCTTATATAGGTTAACACACTTCAGCATGATCAATGGATCAGCCTTATTAGGATGCAATATCTCCACCTGTGTGCTGCTGAAATGTGTTTCTAGGTCAGTATAGCTTCACTAGTTTGTTTAGTTTTGTTGCAAAGTTTTAACTTTTTTAAATTAGTGACAGAGAACATCACACTGCTGCATCAGAAAATAAAACAACTTTCATGCAGATTCATACTTTTTTGGCTAATAAAGTAGATCATGAGAAGAGCACAATGAGTTGATTGATGTCAAAAAGTCACACTATCAAAATCTGATCTTTTAATTTGTTGATGACGCTGATTTCTATTTGACAGGTGACAGCTGTTGCTGTTACATGTATGCTTTCAGCACACCTGATTGTACAAGGAGTCAACATTAGACTAAACCAAACTAGATCAAAGAAAGCAGGCTAACTACTTTATCTTCACTCTGGTGCTGGTCCCCTCAATTATCGTGGCCTAGATGTGTAAGGAAGAAACACTGTTGCTTTGGCTTTTGGTACAAAAATGCATTCAACATATAGTACTGGAGTTCCTGTTGCTTTACATGTGTAAACCAACCCAGTAAACACAAAAATAGTATAATGCAATATGTCTCACTTCCACTTGTTACCTATTCATCAGGTTTAACTTTTATTTTGTCTACGACTCTTTTTTAATCCTTTGGGGATGTTTTCTGGCATCAGATTTTAGATTTGTTTTGGTTTTCTGAAACTAATTTAGTCGAGAATGATGAAATTATTCTGATGAGGATCAGCACCTCCAAATCTGAGACCATGGTTCTCGACCGGAAAAGGGTGGTTTGCCAACTCCGGGTCGGGAGAGAGGTCCTACCTCAAGTGGAGGAGTTTAAGTATCTCGGGGTCTTGTTCACGAGTGAGGGTAGGAGGGATCGGGAGATCGGCAGGCAGATTGGTTCAGCGTCTGCAGTGATGCGGACGCTGAGCCATTCTGTCGTGGTGAAGAGGGAGCTGAGCCAGAAAGCCAGGCTCTCGATTTACCGTTCAATCTATGTCCCAATCCTCACCTATGGTCATGAGCTTTGGGTAATGACCGAAAGAACGAGATCGCGGATACAAGCGGCCGAAATGAATTTCCTCCGTAGGGTGGCCGGGCTCAGCCTTAGAGATAGGGTGAGGAGCTCGGACATTCGGGAGGGACTCGGAGTAGAACCGCTGCTCCTCCGGATCGAAAGGAATCAGCTGAGGTGGTTTGGGCTTCTGGTCAAGATGCCTCCTGGACGCCTCCCTGGGGAGGTGTTTCGGGCATGTCCTGCCGGCAGGAGGCCCCCGGGTTGACCCAGGACACGTTGGAGAGGTTACATCTCCAATCTGGTCCAGGAACGACTTGGGGTCCTGCCGGAGGAGCTCGTGGAGAAGGCAGGGGAGAGGACGGTCTGGAGCTCCCTAGTTGGGATGCTGCCCCCGCGACACGGACCCGGATAAGCGGAGGAAGACGACGACGAGACGACGATGAAAATATTCTTGTTTTCACTTTTTATAATCTGGATTATGTTTTAACTCAGTCAGGATTTAGAAATCATGCATAAACTGTGTTTTATCTTATTCCCATGTTGACACAGAGAATCAATTCAAACACAAAATTTGTTCAGTGGTTCCTAAACATTTCCATTTCTGACTCACCAAATGGCTGTTAAAGAAACATGTGAATCGTCTTTTACTAAAGAGCACAAACATTAGTCAACTAAAACAGAGTAGAATAAAAAACTACAACCCATCTCAACAACTATTTTACTCGTTTTATTCTCTGGTAGCATTTTTTTAAAAGTGTCTTTTTGGTAATTGTTTTAAAAATTTTCTTGATTTCTGGGGATCATTTGAAGACCTTTTTGGTGTTTCATGAACCACAATGGGAGTCCCAACCTCAGCTTTGGGAACCGGTGTTTTAATCACCTAGTTCTGATGATCTGTCAGAAAACATCTCGTGCGCCATCTGCGAAGCCGCTAGAGGGTGCTAAACACCAGATCAGGGTAACATTGTCGTTGTTAAAATCTTCTAAAATATATGACATCATTTGAATGTTCATTAGCACGTGGCAATTAAACTTTTGATCTGCCGAGATGCGTCACTCCTGCTTGCGTTTTATGTATTTTTTAAATTAAACCACGATTGAAAAAAATCATTTTAAAAAGTTGAGATAATTTATTTGAGAGAGAAAATTGGGTTTCATCAATTTGATAATGTTGAGATTATTACAGCATTAGTTTGCAAAAAAGTCACGTCCACTCCTCCCTCTCTTCCTCTGGCCCTTCTCCGCCCCCCCTCTTTCTGATTGGCCTTCTTAAAGATAATTGGAGACAAAATCCGGTGTGTCAAGGACAGGAATGAGGTCTCACAGGTGTCTGCTGCTACCATGAAAAAGAAGGCGGTCGGCGGCAGCGGGTGCAGCCACATCAGCGCACCCAAGGAGACTGTCGCATCCAAATGCTCGAGAGGCAACAGCGGACAGAACTGCGCGGAGCCTGGTGGTTCACCCGGTGCGCCAAGCGGCGAGCAGCCCGGTGTGAGCAGCAGCGTCATGATGGACGAGATGGAGGAAGGAGAAGAAGAGTCCAAGTTCCAGCATCCGCGTTTGCGCCGAGCCGGGGGGAGCGGCAGCAGCGGAGGTGGAGGAGAAGGAGGCGGAGGCAGTATCAGGATGAAGAACTTTACGCCAGGAGGGGGAGCCGCGTCCTCGGCTTCCAGGAGAAACTCCAACAAGGAGCCCAGCCTTACGCACACAGAGGACGTTCCTGCCGCCTCACGGCCCACTGCTGCCTCCAGAGCCACCGAGACACCCTGTCCGGGCAATGCTGCCCGACGCGGCGAGATCAACCGAGCGTCTGGGGCGGAGGTGTCGGGATCTACTGCCACGTTAGAGGCTTTAAACGCGACAACGAGTGATGGTTGCAGGGGCGTCGCTCCCATTTCCAGCATGAAATGCAACAAAAACGGAGAATGCAGAAGGGACTCGGGGACCGGGAGCCTGCGCTCAATAATCTCCAAGCAGGAGAAGCAACCAGCGGGGTCGGGGAGAACCGAGGAAGGAGGGGGTGCCAAACGAGGAGCCTGTAACTCGACCACCGCTATGGACGGTTCGATCACACCAGGCCGGTCTCTAACCGGAGGGCAAGGAGGGGAGAACACAAACCCCGGGACCACCTCCGTGTCCAGCGGTGTCCCTGAGAAAAAGGACTCCAAGGTGTCCTTCTCTAACGCACCAAGTCGAAAAGCATCTTCCTCGCTGCACGGCCAGACTCAGACTCAGACCCAACAGCCAAGGAACTCTGTAACTTTCCAGAAACCGGAGGATGGACCGCCAATTGTGCCAGCCGAGGATGCAGAACCTCGAGGCAGCCAAGCCAGCTTCATGCAGCGGCAGTTTAGTAGTATGCTGCAGCCTGGAGTTAACAAATTTTCCTTACGCATGTATGGTAGTCAGAAAGCTGTAGAAAAGGAGCAGGAGAGGGTAAAATCAGCCGGAAACTGGATTATCCACCCTTACAGCGATTTCAGGTAAGAGATGGAGCTGCCAGGAGAGGCCCGTAAGGGTCCTTATCGTCATCTATAACTTACTTTACAGAGTAATGAAGCACAGGAAACAAACGCATTTTAGAGCTACACCTGATTTATCATTCCTCCCGTACTAATGAACCCATAAAGGATGTACTGCTCCAGTCTAATGGGCTGCTGTCAGCACACCGCCTCCCAAAAACAACCTGTTGTCAGGCAAATGGACTTAGCAAAGAGTGTCCTCTCAAGGTTGTAAACAAATCCGGCTCCACTCGGAAGAATAGCATGTCTGGGGCTCTCAGCAAGCCAGGCCTGCTATTCCAGCTCTTCGACGCATGACGCTCACATTTATCAGAGAGCACAGAGACGATGGCATTCATGGTCCAGCTATTATTTTAAAGATCTGGCTAATAAACGTGGCGCTGTCTACTCTGCGTCAAGAGCCGTGCAGACAGGATGGAGGCAATGAGCGCGTGCGCGTGTGCGTACGATGCACTCAGTAATGGAATGTCACCTTGAGCAAAGTGTGCGAATACCTCCAGCGTGCTCACTGGAGACAGATCCGCCAAGATTCTCCGGATCATGTCGTTACTCGACGGATTCGCCGTGTTTGTGACGTGGCTCAGCATCCAGCAGCTATGTCTTTCAAGCATTTAAACCACCAAATGGTCTCCGAGCGTGGCTGTGTCTGCAGCTCACCGCTCCCCCCAGGGGATGGGTCAAATGCGGAGAACAAATTTCGCACACATATCAGTGTGCGTGACAACTAATGGGACTTTAACTTTAGGGGGAATCCACGAGCCGAAAAGGCTCTACCTGACTAACGCGTCTCTGTGAGCAAGTATTGGTTGTTGGAGTTGCGTTTTAGTTGCGCAAACCAACAGGTTTTATTCTGGGCTGGGTCGGTTGCTTTCAGCACCACAGGGAGTGGACAGCTCCCCTCTCATTTGGAGTCGCGTCGCGCGTGTGGAGCGCTCTTCTACCCCCACCCCCGCGAGTCATTCATGTTTGACCCATTTGTTTTCCCATAACGCCGCGAGTCAGTAAAGCTCAACTTAAGACAATGTTCAAGATAAAACGTGACGACAAGCTACTTAATAGACGCTCTCCTACTTTCAACATGAGAGGAGTTTTTTTGCTCCCCGGCTTCTGTTCCTTATTCTTAAGCTGCTCCCTCACGGCAGCAAAGTTGCATCAAACATTATCATCAGCGGCGATTTAGGTAGAATTATCAGAGCTTGTTGCATAAGTCGCAGCGTAATGACTCAGCACTGCACCTGTCCCGCAGAGCTTCCTCTGTCGGGCTGAAACAACCATGATCTCACCTGTCACCTCTGTTGGAAAACCTAAACACCATTCATGTCGAAAATCACTATTTTCAGTTCAACTTAAAACATTAACGACCCGGTTTGAGCCTAAAACATTCAAGTCACGAAATCCCTCATTATTTGGGCTAAATTCACTTATTACAATAAAAATACCACAAGAAAACAAATATTTTATTTACGATCATCATCTTACAGACACTTTAAGGCTCTGTGTTTGATTATCTAATATTCCAAAGACTAAGTAAAAAAGTAAATATTTTTTGTTATAGATTTGGATACATAATACATGTAATTATGCTGCATTTTAACATAACATAACATATATTACAATATGTGCTGATCTGTAACAGAAAACCATTTTTTCATTATTCTCTGCATGTTCAGGCATGAAAAGCTCAGTTCCACATTTCCTCCATCTCCAATTAAGGATCCTCTTGTTTCTATAGGCTTTCCACCGCAGCGCCTCTTTCTTATCTGACTATTTTTGTCTTGTTTTCTTTCTCCTGCCCTTTCCCATTAAACACACACACACATCTGCCAGGTTCTACTGGGATTTTTCAATGTTGCTGTTCATGGTGGGCAACCTGATCATCATTCCCGTGGGCATCACCTTCTTCAAGGAAGAGACCACCACGCCCTGGATCATCTTCAATGTAGTCTCCGACACCTTCTTCCTCATGGACCTGGTGCTCAACTTTCGCACTGGAATCATCATTGAGGACAACTCGGACATTATTTTGGACCCTGAAACCATAAAAAAGACATACTTAAAAACTTGGTTTATTGTAGACTTTATCTCCTCCATCCCAGTGGATTATATATTCCTTATAGTGGAGAAAGGGATTGACTCAGAGGTGTACAAGACCGCCCGGGCCCTGAGGATTGTTCGCTTTACCAAGATCCTAAGTCTTCTGAGGCTGTTGAGGCTCTCCAGATTAATACGTTACATTCACCAGTGGGAAGAGGTAAGAGCTCATGTAGTTATATTTACTAGTAAAATCCTCCGAAACACCAATGGTGGTGTTGGCTCGTGACCAAATAAACAGTCTGCCTCTGTCTGCTCCAAGTGGCCTGCTCTTCTGATTTATTGATGCTGTCACCTGCCACCTGGAGAAAAACAAACACATTTGATGTTAGTAAGACATTTGAGCATGAACAAACCTTGCATTTTGTTGCTCCCACTGTCACTGGAGCTCCCCTCCACTCTGCCGCCTCACCGTCTGACCCAGCAGTCCCACAGGTGGCACCAGGCAGCCTAATAAGCAGACTATTATCAGAACAAACATGGTTAATCAATTAAGGCACCAGAGAAGGAGCAGGTGAGGTGGAAGATGATAGTAACAATCACCACTGAGGGCGAGCAGTGTCTATCATTAGTTATGTCACTAATTACATGAAATAAAGTTAAATAAATACATTTACTGTGTCCTGTTTAGTTGCTGGGAAGACTCTTTCTTTCACTGCCACTTTGGTTGTTGTAGCAGTGTGAGGGATAAGAGATCAGCTCAGGACAAAAGACCTCCAGTGATGTCATGAGATCACTCGACTTTTCATTCTTGCCAGTGTTAGCGGCCTGGTGTTGGCATTTTGCTGTGGTGAACAGCTCATTGGAGCTTGGCTACTCACTTGACCTTTGGATAATTTGATTTCTGAAGATATGATGTGATATGCACACATACACACTCAGTGATGCATGATGGGAAGTGATACTTGACAGGCATGGAGAATGAGGGATGATGACGTGTATGGTAACAGCTCAGGCCCATACAGAAAATATCCACTAGAAATGTTGGTTGTTTTTAAGTTATCTGTTGAGTTTTGTTTGGAAAACCCAAGATTCTGAGCTTGAAACTGCATGGTGGGTTTGTAGAGCTGTCCATGGTGCTGAAAATCTCCAGCGGCCAGAGACAGCAACAGAGGATCCCTCCTTGTTGGTAAAAGTAGGATCACATTCCCCTTTTCCTTGGTTTCTGGCCTGATGGAAGTGACAGTGAAAACATCAAAAAGGTTAAAACTGCATTTAGAAAGTTCATCACGTGTGATTCATGTCAGGTCCTATTCCTCATCACTCGCGTCACCAAGTATCACCTCTCTCTTTGCTGCACTGAAATGACCCACCTCCTTCAGTGGGGACTTCATCAGACAGTTCTGCACGTTTAGATGTCGTTTCCACACATTTTTTCTGGCTGAGGATTACTTTTTCAACCTTTAGGTTGCTAAGCAGCATCATGATGAGGTTTCTTGAGGTTTGATGATTGGACTGAGTGAGTGAGCATGATTGAAGTGTGAGACAACATGGACTATCAGCTGTTCAGGATCATGATGGTTGCTGTCCATCACTCTGTCCATGTGAATATGTCCATGTGTGTGATGTGATGACATGTCTGTCGGTGTATCCTTGTGCCCGCAGGCTTGCGTGAGAGTAACACATGTATGTGGCTGTGCGTGTATAAAACTCCGCCTGATGTCACACATCTCTGTGGGAAAACTGTATCACCTGCTCCTGTTGATGTTGGTTCAGGACTGTCGCCATTTACCTGCCATGTCAGAAACCCAAGGATCTCATCTCATCTCGTGTCAGATCATTCTTAACACTTCTTCCTTTTTCACTGTCAATATCCAGATCTTCCACATGACCTATGACCTGGCCAGCGCGGTGATGCGGATTATCAACCTGATCGGTATGATGCTGCTGCTGTGTCACTGGGATGGCTGCCTACAGTTCCTGGTTCCCATGCTGCAGGACTTCCCATCAGACTGCTGGGTGTCCCTCAACAAGATGGAGGTATGCATGAGGGAATCTGGTTAGCTTTAACTAACGGGGCGATTACGATCAAAATAAACCAGTTACATAAATCATCTTTATGTGAGAACAAATGCTGAGGGTTAACCAGATTACATTTAAAGCAACATGATTAAAGAAAAATGATTCTCCAAACAGATGGTGGGACACCTTTGCAACTTTTTCACATTTTTAAATAATCTTCTTGAGCCAGTATGTGCAAAAATGACCCTTAACAGTGTTAATGAAAGGCCACCCAGTTCCTATTGTCCCCCCGTGGCCGGAATATTCCACTTGCATCTTCAGACTGGCAGGCGGCATTGTTAGGACTTTAAAAAAAATGAGCTGACATACCTGGTGCTGCAGTCTGGTTCCAGCCCATTTCCTGCAAGTTTTAGATATTGAACACAGCTGATTTGTTTAATTTAGTGATGAATCACTCCTGTAGACACTGGGGAGACGTTTCAGCGGTTACATTAAGGTGTTAAAAAGACAAACACACAACGAGGAAAAAAGTTTAGCTTTTGGTTCTACAAACATACACTAGGGGGTGCTAAAAGCAAGCCAAAACTGATTTGTTCTTTAAAATGATGACTGAGAACATTATGACTGATTTGTAGTTATCCTCCCGTCCAGAACAACTGGATACATTATTTCCAGGAAAATGCATTTTATAGTATCAGAGAACTATTGGATTCACTCACTATAAAATCCAGTTTCTCGGTCCTGCACCATCTCCTCACATGCATTGTTTTATTAAGTTTAAGTGCCTCCAAGCAGTTGTGCAAGAACCTGAACAACTGAAGCTAGTAAATGAGAAATCTCAGGTTCCACATCCCTGACAAAGAACATTAGAGTGTACTTATATTTCCTCTCTATAAGCTCATATTGATTGGAAGTCATTAATAATGGCATACTGGGAATGATTTTCCAAATCACTGAAGGAAAGAAGCATACGTTACCCTAATGAGAGTGTGTTTGCCGTGCATGCGCTCATTCTCTTGCTGTGAATTAGAGCTGGGATGGTTCTTCTGATTCTGTCACTTCATACTGTCTCTATAGATGAGTTCTACTTGCCTCTGCATCACTGATCTCTCAATGTGCAGTCATCTTAGTAATGAAAAGTTGTGAAATGCATCTGTTCTTGCTCACAAATCGGATCATGCACTGACATTCTCATCAGAGGAAACATTTCTTCTATTTCTTCGAATTTTCCTCATGTATACCGCATTGTTTCTGACATTTCTTAATTGATATAATCTCCAAAGAAAGATTTTTAGTCCCCCACACACCCAATAATTAATTCAGTAATTTAAAGACAATCAGACCTTTTTTACGCCTTCTTGACAGAACTTAAGCATTAAATCTGCCTGAACTGTATTTTTACACATGCTGCAGAGCATTAATGGATGCTAATTCTCTTGTGAGGAAGAATCTACAGATTCAGTCATGTTTTTTTTGCCCCACAGCTGGATTTGTACTTTTATTTAGCATTGACAGTGAGAAAAGCATCAGTAAAAGTTGGCTAAAGGCTGATTAGTAATCAGTGATCATCAAAGTCTTTATTGTCTGTTGCTACTGTAGGAATATCTGTGCTTTAGTAAAGAAGAAAAGGCTTCAAATAAATTCATTTTCTTGATTTTAAATTTATGGAAATTGTGGAAATGACATTTCTATGGCCCTTCATCACATCAGCAGATGCTACATGATGTAAAATATCAGTTTTGTTAGCTCTGCTTGAGATTAGCAGCTCATAGCAACAAGTTCTGCTGTAGATCTTGTGTTCACTGAAGGTCTGACGGAACATTTATACAAATATTTTACCAAATTTGTATGTTAAGTCTTTCAGTGACCTCAAAGTTGATAATTTGCGCTGTTGGCTCATCATTTTGAGAATATTTATGCAAAGTTAGGTAGCTCTATACAGCGCTCTAGTGCTCAGAAACACATCTAGGTGACATTCGCTGCAAATATTTTATCTCTCATTCAAGGAGAAAAGCAAAAAATTCTCTCAGACAGATCAAGAAAGTCACTCATATCTCCATCTTGTGCAGCACCGATCAGTCTTTGTGACAGACAGAGGAAACATCCGCAGGTTATCGGTGAAGATGCAGTGGAAAAGAAGCCAGAGATTTAAACACACCTCCTGATCCCCCCGTGCCTCCCCACCAGTGCCGTGGGGCGATGACAGGAAAGATAAAAGGGGAAAGCAGAGGGATGAGGGGGAATATGGCCAGGCAGCTGGGCTCTTTGTTGCCATGTCTCTCTCATAGAGATAAAAGCTGGTTGTTTATAGGTCTGTCTTTCAGCCAAGCCTTTTGCTGAGCAGGGGAAGACCACACCAACCCAGACACGAGGCACAAGTCCAAATTGGTTTTAAACAGATTGAGTCCTGCTCCCAGACGTTGTCTGGGTTCAGCACGACTCGTCGTAAAACTCAGATTTGAAGTTTTTCTGGATGAGGCTTCTGACTCTTGATGTTATGGCTGTACAGAACCACAAAGTGTCCTACTTGCCATGTACGGACATTTTTATTACATTTTTATGCAACATACGACCCATCTGACCAATCATCGACTTGCAGCTTATTTGAAGAGCAAGACACACCCGGCAATGGTGAACCAGAATGGATTAAACACTTTAGTTTTTCAACATTATATCAATTTGTGTGCATGAAGAATAAAAGTTATGTGATATGTAATCAGCTCTGAATTGATTATGTCAAAAACAGACAGAAGCATTTTATACTTGTATCCATCAGCTATGTAAATCATCAAAGTGTGGAAATTAATTTAACTTTACTGCACGGTTACTCCATCCATTCATTCATTCATTCATTCATTCATTCATTCATTCATTCATTCATTCATTCATTCATTCATTCATTCATTTTCATCCGCTTATCCAGAGTCAGGTCACGGGGGCAGTAGTCTAAGGCGAGAGGCCCAGACTTCCCTCTCCCCAGCCACTTGGGCCAGCTCCTCCGGGGGAATCCCAAGGCGTTCCCTGGCCAGGTGAGAGACATAGTCCCTTCACCGTGTCCTGGATCGCCCTTTAGGTCTCCTCCCAGTTGGACGTGCCTGGAAAACCTCACCAGGGAGGCGTCCAGGCGGCATCCTGACCAGATGCCCGAGCCACCTCAACTGGCTCCTCTCGACATGGAGGAGCAGCAGGTCAACTCCGAGCCCCTCCCGAATGGCCGAGCTTCTCACCCTATCTCTAAGAGAGAGCCCAACCACTCTTCGGAGAAAACTCATTTCGGCCTCTTGTATCCACGATCTCGTTCTTTCGGCCACTACCCTAAGCTCATGACCATAGGTGAGGGTAGGAACGTAGATCGACCGGTAAATCGAGAGCTTCGCCTTCTGACTCAGCTCTCTCTTCACCATGACAGACCGGTACAACGCCCGCATCACTGCAGATGCAGCACCAATCCGCTTATCGATCTCACGCTCCAATTTTCCCTCACTCGTGAACAAGAACCCGAGATACTTAAACTCCTCCACTTGGGCAGGGCCTCATCCCTGACCCGGAGAAGGCATTATACCCTATTCCAAATCAAGACCATGGTCTCAGATTTAAAGGAGCTGATTCTCATCCCAGCTGCTTCCCACTCGGCTGCGAACCGCTCCAGCGAAAGCTGAAGATCACGTTCTGGTGAAGCCAACAGGACCACATCATCTGCAAAAATCCTCAGGCCACCAAAACGGATGCCCTCCACACCTTGGCTGTGCCTAGAAATCCTGTCCATAAAGGTTATGAACAGAATCGATGACAAAGGGCAGCCTTGGCGGAGTCCAACTCTCACTGGGAACGAGTCCGACTTACTGCCGGCAATGCGGACCAAGCTCTGACACCGGTCATACAGGGACCTAACAGCCCGTATCAGAGGGCCTGGTACCCCATACTCCTGGAGTACCTCCCACAGGGCCCCCTGAGGGACGCGGTCAAACGCCTTCTCCAAATCCACAAAACACATGTAGACTGGTTGGGCAAATTCCCACGCACCCTCCAGGACCCCCTAAGGGTCTAGAGCTGGTCCAGTGTTCCACGGCCAGGACGAAAACCACATTGCTCCTCCTGAATCTGAGGTTCAACACACCGATGGACCCTCCTCTCCAGAACCCCTGAATAGACCTTACCAGGAAGGCTCAGGAGTGTGATCCCCCTGTAATTGGAACACACCCTGCGGTCCCCCTTTTTAAATAAGGGGACCACCACCCTGGTCTGCCAGTCCAGTGGGACTGCCCCAGATGTCCATGCGATATTTCAGAGCTGCGTCAGCCAACACCGCCCCACAACATCCAGAGCCTTAAGGAACTCCGGGCGGATCTCATCCACCCCTGGAGCCATGCCACAGAGGAGCTTTTTAACCACCTCAGTGACCTCAGCACCAGAGATTTGAGAGGCCAACCCAAAGTCCCCAGACTGCTTTCTCACTGGAAGACGTGTCGGTGGGATTGAGGAAGTCTTCGAAGTATTCTGCCCACTGATCCACAACGTCCTGAGTAGAGGTCAGCAGCACACCGTCCCCACTATAGATAGTGTTGGTAGCGCACTGCTTCCCCCCCCCCCCCCCCCCCCCCCGCCCCCCACCCCCGAGGCGCCGGATGGTGGACCAGAATCTCCTCGAAGCCGTATGGAAGTCTTGCTCCATGGTCTCACCAAACTCCTCCCATGCCCGGGATTTTGCCCAGGCGACCACCCGAGCCGCCTTCCACTTGGACTGCCGGTACCCGTCAGCTGCCTCTGGAGTCCCACAGGCCAAAAAGACCTGATAGGACTCTTTCTTCAGCTTGACAGAATCCCTAACCGTCTGTGTCCACCAGCGGGTTCGGGGGTTGCCACCACGACAGGCACAGACGATCCTGCGACCACAGCTCCGGTCGGCCGCCTCAACAATGAAGGCACGGAACAGGGTCCATTCAGACTCAATGTCCCCCGCCTCCCCCAGAACATTTTGGAAGTTCTGTCGGAGGTGGGAATTGAAGCTCCTTCTTACA